TAATGGTAACAACAAAAAACTTTAATAACTGCACTATTGCCATTTACAAGTTACATTATTTTCCATATCTTTAGCCAGTCAACTGTTTTATACCAATTAATTTTTTTTTCAGGATTTTCTAATTATTGATTTCAATTATTTTCATTCACAACATTATTTAATAAATTAACTGATTTCAATATTTTTCGTTACTCCTGTTACAGTTGTAACAACAGAAACAGCAGCAACTTCTGAAGAAAACATTAAAAACAGCAAACGACGTTAATAGCAACAAAAACGACAACAATAAAATTGACATTAACAACAACAACAACACTAGCCTGATATGATCATCATCATTAACATCATCACCCCCATCATCATCATCATCAAAGGAGAGAGATGTGAGTCATTATTGAATTGCTTTTTTTTGGTGTATGTAATTTTCAATTTATTCATTTCCTTATTTACTATAGATATTTTGTTATGTTTAATAAAGAGAAATAACAATTGAATCACTAAGTCAATTATCTAATTAATCAACTAATTAATTAATTAATTAATCAGTTTAATGAACTATATATCTCTAGAAGACTCATAAAGAAATGGATGTGGAGGAAATAGATACAGCTCTAAATGAGCCAACAACTGCAAACACAACAACCAATACACCAACAACGGCAGACTTCACATCAACAGCAGCAAACACAACCGCCACAACAACTGCAAATTTAACAGCAAACGCTAACGCAACGGCCACAGCAGCGACAACAGCAACAGATCGAAACAACTACACCCAACATGTCAGTCGACTGAAAGAATGGTCTTGTCTCATTCTATTCAGAATCTTTTTTCCTACCATATTTTTAGCTGGTTAGGTTTAGTTGATTTTGCTTCAATAATTGCCTTCAGTTCATCATATGCAACTCGTTTCATCCTCTAGACTCATATCACAAGCGTGAATGTTTTGATCAAACTTTGTATGGAATACTTTTAGAGGCATGGACATCTCTTCATGCCTCTACTTTCCACATTATTATATCTTGCATTTGCATTGGCCGCTGTTTGCTTCAGTTTATATTCATGAGGTGAAGTAATTCAAAAATTAGACTTTGACGACTATCTATAATATCACTCAAAACCAAACACAGTGGAAGTTTTAACTAAATATTTTATATAAACTGGATAGAGGAATGAATAACCTTTACAATTGTATATAATTATCAATATATCCAATGAAATTTATTTAAAAACATTGGGTCAAAAAACTAAATTAAGCAAACTGGCATTATTTTTGCACTAACATGAGTAAAAGCAATGACAACAGAGTGAGTAAATGATTGGATGAATGAGTGAATGAGTTATCAGATGGATGAATTCATCAAATAAATTTAATTCTTTATATTCACTTGTATAAATTATCACAGTTGAGTAACTCTCAATATCGAAATATTTTAAAAGTTCATATACAAAAATGGACCTAGATAACAAGCATTCAACATTGTTCTGAGGGCATTCATCTTTGAAATCAAATTATTTTTAAAATTAATGAGCACATGGTAATTGGCATGACCTAATTATTTTAGGTCATGCCATTTAAGTCATTTGTATCATCTTTAAAATTGTCAAATTTTTTTGGCATTATTTGTCATGTTGGCTTGATTTAATTAATTATAATGACCGAGATTTTTTATTTTCTTTCTGCTTTTAACCTGCTGCTGCTGCTGCTGCTTCAAATCTCATTTTTAAAAATCTCTTTCCTTTCTTTTTTACTGTCTCACTCATATCTTTACCTTTCTTTTTGACTTTCTTTCCGACTCTCCCTGCCTCTCTCTCTCTTTCTTTCTCTGTCTTTCTTTTTATCTTTGTCCTTCTTTCCGACTCACTCTGTCTCACTCTCTTGGTCCCTTTTCTTCCTCTCTCTCTCTTTCCCTCCCTCTCTTTCTCTCTCCCTTTATTCCCTTTATCTCTCTCTTTCTGTCTCTCTCTTTTTCTGTTTTCTCTCCTCTTTTTCTTTCTTTTTGACTTTTTTCAGTTTATCCTCTTTCTCGTCTATCTTAAAGGATGATATCTGAGAAGTTGAATGAGCAAATGGTACATTGCCACTAATTATTTTGTTTTGTTGGTCACATTCTACTACTTGCACATGCGCCCATTTTGAGACAACGACATCAGTAGCTGTAGGTGATCCATGTTTGATATTATGCTATGGTTGCTATCAAGTATGGAGACAAATAATGATACACAATGTGTCACGTCTGGCAGTTTAATTATGTACTGCACACTTGTGTATGTTTATCACCGCTACTACCACTGCTGCTGTTGCTGGTTTGTGTCAGTGTGTGTGTGTGTTGTGTGTGTGTGTGTGTGTGTGTGTGTGTGTGTGTGGTGTGTGTGTGTGTCAGTTTTGTTTATCTACAGAGCAAAGTTATTTAATATGCATAATGATCAATAAAATGCCAATACGCTTTATATGTTGGTTGCTACTGTTTCAACCTTCAATTGAATGTTTAACTTTTAAAAATAATTTTCATTAAACTAAGAATTTCTCTCTCTTTCTCTCTCTCTCTCTCTCTCTCTCTCTCTCTCTCTCTCTCTTTCTCTCTCTCTCTCTCTTTCTCTCAATGTATCATTGTTTTTTTCTATTTTAATTAAGATTTTATGATTTCTGTTTGCTATGATAGTAATAATGCCTGTAGTGATGTTTGTGATGATAAATGATTGGTGATTGTGAAACTACTTTATTGGAGGTGATAACTTAATGATGATGATAACGACTATAGTTGAATAGCAATACTAATGATGATGACAACGATGATGTTATGTTGACCATGTGTTGGACATCATATTGGATGATTACAGTTGGTCATGCTTATGAAATGATGCCAATGATAATAATGACGTTAATGATAAGCGATGATGACGATGACGAACATGACGATGAAGACGACGACGATGTAAGGATGAAGTCAGTATGAAATGAATCAGCAGCAATTGTTGTTGAAGATGATGGTGTCCTGATAGACAAGTCTGACGCTGCCGCTGCTGCTGCTGCCGCTGCTGCTGCTGCTGCCGCTGCTGCTGCTGCTACTACTACTACTATCAATTTTACTATTAATATTAATACATAGTTCAGTGGACTTGATGTGTTGATTGAGTTAATAAAATTAATAGCAATTAAATTAATGATATTAATAATTATAATTAATTATTTCATCTATATTATCTTTATTTACATTATTTTATCATCATCAGTGTATATGATAAACCCAGCCACTGTCAATTCTAACAGCTGAACACCTGTTTCTTATGTTTGCATACATATATTTGTACATGATATATATATATAATATATGACATATGTATATATATATAATATATATGATATATGTATATTATATATATAAATATATGTGTGTATGCAAGCGTGTGTGTGTGTGTGTGTGTGTGTATGTGTGTATGCAAGCGTGTGTGTGTGTGTGTTTGTGTATGTGTAATGATTGTATGTACTTTGTTGGCGATAATACAAAAGTACAAAAACATCATAGATGCATTTCACATATGCAATTTTTTACAAAAAGTTTTAAGTAGGCGCATACACACACGTACATACGCACGCGCGCACACACACATAAACACACACACATGCATATATATATATATATATATATATATATATATATATAATTTTTAGAGTAACAAGTTCATGATGATGGTAACCTTAGCATAAAATTAATGATATATATATATAATTAGCATAAAATTAATATATATATATATAATTTTTAGAGTAACAAGTTCATGATGATGGTAACCTTAGCATAAAATTCAACTTTCTCTTTTTCTGTTTATCATCAACTGTCATTTTAATCCTTTCGACTATCGTCATCACATTCATCACATTCTTTTTCATCATCACTATTGTTACTATCATTACTACTTCTACTGCTACTACTACTACTACTACTACTACTACTACTACTACTGCTACTACTACTACTACTGCTTCTACTACTGCTGCTACTATTAGTAATATTTGTTTCGTAGAAAATTACGATAATAATAATAATAGTTATGAAATCGAATATTACAATAAAAAGAAATAGACCATTCAATTCTCTAGTAGGAAATGATGGAGTTATTTGTTATGAATACATAATTATGATGGTGACGACGATGATGATAATGAATATGATGAATACTCGGTCAAATGATGATGATGATGATGATGATGGTGAAAGTTATGATGGAGACGATGAAGATGATGATTGCAGTAATTATGATAATGGAATTTACCATGATAACGATAACAATTGCGATGATGATGATGGGATGATGATGATGAAGAGGAGGAGGATTAGAAATGACGATGGTAATGATGGTGATAATAATGATGATGATGATGATGAATGAGGATGATTCCGCGTGACTTTTTGTAATGTACCATTTTATTCATTCTATTTTTATTTCATCGCTTTTTACTTCCCAGATAATCTTCTAAAAAATTTCTAATAATTTTTTCACAAACAAATAAACGTACGACAAACAACCAAACATAAACAAATACAAACAAATATAAATAAATACAAACAAACATACAACAAATAAACATACATACAAACAAACAACCATTCAAACAAACAAAACAGCATGTGTGGTTCGACAGAATGCATTTTCACTTGGCTATGGTTGTTTGGCACTGAGTAGCTCCTTGATTAAGAGACCATCGTCTGTTACTATTCTTGGTCAGTGCCCGCTTTATTTATTCATTATTCATTCATTCATTCATTCATTCATTCATACATTCATTCATTCATTTTTGTCAATTATTGTGCTTCATACAAGTTTCTAAAATTTATCATTAATCTGTTTTTTATCTTCATGCTATTCATCTCTTCAACAGTTCTAAGAATACTTTTTTTTAATTATTTTAAATATTATGGTAAAGTGAGTTTAGTTAAATATTCACGCACACCTTGATGAAATTTAAAGGTTCTACAGGGTACTTCTTATTAGTAGCGATGATTTTTTCTGGACTGGCCCTCATAGGTCAGATGGTTTTCCAGATTTTCATCCTGATTTACAAGTCGTCTGATACGCTTTTCTACAATTGTCTTCCATTAGAACTCATTTTCAGACAGATTGGATTGCAAAAGTTTTTATATTTCTAGTGATTTATTTATCTGTCTGTTCGTTCGTTAGTTTATTTGTTCGTTCGTTCGTTTGTTTTTTCGTTTGCTTGTTCGTTTGTTGTTATTAATGTTGTTGTTGTCGTTAAATTTATGTCAAATTGCCGTTCAATGAAGATTGATCAGATTAAGATATATCAATAATTTAACATTGTTTTTATTTAATCATTTGCATAATTATTGAGCTTTCAATTTTTTTTCCTAATCACTTCATTTTAATTTTCATGATTTCCACCATTATCATCATTCTCATTTTCATCACCCTCACCCCCACACAACAATCATCACCACACATCCCAATCCCACTTCCTCGCTCCCACCAGGATTAACGACTCGGACCTCGGGAACGCACTCCGTTTAATCCTTCCGGATGCAGTGGCCAGCATGTTTAGCCTCTTCATTTATTTCATCTGCAAGTGCATCCTACAGCCTCAGCCATCGTCACAGCCCTCCGTCAGCGCCTTGGTCGGCCAGCTGCAGGGCTCTCCATCACCACAGGTCAGGTTCTACAAATCTGGGTCACTTCTAATCGAGTACCTCGGAAGTGGGATCGTTCTTTTGCTGATGATACTTTGCGGGATTGCCGAGCCCAATGTTCTCAATATGATCTACTTTGTTTCATTCCTATTGGCTGCCACACTTTGGGGGTGTGGCATAAAATTCGGTCGATGGTTTATTGCAATGGAAGTGTGTTTGTTGGTATATTGCGGGTTTCACCTGGTTGCTATCTACCTGCATCAGTTTCCAAGCATCCAAGAGTTGTGGTTCGAGAGGGAGGGATGGAATGAAACAGTTTTCATCAACGCTGATAACTTGACGAACTCTACTGGCATTCTTTATAGGTATCCCGTTTTACGTCAATAACATTGCGTTAATTTATTTTTATTACCAATACTGTTGCAACGCGTTTGTTTTGTTGTCAGTAGTTTTTACATAAACGACGTGTTAATTTGGTAATCGCCAACACAACAACACACACACAACTTCCCTGTACAAGATTGTTGGGTCTGAAGACATTCGTATACACGAACTGTACACATCCATTCATGCTGAACTTCAATGTTAACCTCAAATGGACCGATATCTTGCAAGTTGTCGCCATGGTTGCCTTCTTCCTCTGCACTGGTATTGAAATGAGAAGCAGGATTATCAAGGTTGGCTGGTTGATTAGTTGGTTGGCTGGCTGGCTGGTTGGTTGATTAATTGGTTGATTGGTTGGTTGATTGGTTGGCGGGCTGGTTGGCTGGTTGATTGGTTGTTTGGTTGCTTAGTTGGTTGTTTGTTTAATTGGCTATCTGGTTGGTTAATTGGTCTAAGGATTGGCTGGTTAAATGGTTGGATCGATGGTTGGCCAGTCGGTCAAGTGATTGACTGTGATTTATCCCACAAAGATCCGGAACAATATGGGAGTATCCCAAACAGCACCCCAAACTCCCAGTGGCGTTGAGAATCCGACTTTTGTCTTTGAGGATAGAGTGCGTTCTATAATTTTTTATAATTTTTTATAATTTCATAATTTTATCATGATTATAATTTTTTTCGTTTTATTTATAATTTCATAATTTTGTGATTCATAATTTCGTAAAATCCATAATTTAATAAAAAGAGCATTTTATTTTTTAAAAAGTTTTTTTATTGAATTATGTGTCGGATTGTTGGCTTTTTACGAAATTAAGTGGCTCGTTAAATGGAAATGTTTTGCTGTTTTTATGATTTGTTATTTTTATCATTTCTGTTATTTGTATTTTTCCATATTTGTATTTTTTTCGAATTCGTATTATTTTATCATTTTTGTATTCGATGTACGCTGGGTGAGCTTGTCACCGCTTGTCTAATTTACATTTTTGCCAAGTTCGTAAACTCTGAGTAAATTTATTTGGTATTAATTTTAAGGCTTAATAAAGGTCCTTGTACAAAAATCGTGGGTATTAAATGTAAAATATAAACTGAGAATGAAAATGTTTTCGTTATAAAAATGTACGAATATTTATTCTAATTCAAATCAAGATAACTTATCACATCAGGCCTACTTTATCGGCCTATGTTTGTTTCAAACTGTCATCAACAGTCACATGAAAAAAAAATTGAAATTATTAGCCAATCTTATGTTATTTTATAAAAATGGTTAACCAATCGCTTAACATTTCGTCCGGTAATTCAAACAATCATTCTACAAGAAGCTCAAATAACCGACCGATCAGAGTCTAGTATCGCCGGGTCAGCATCCAAACTACCAGTCGATGGAGAACGTTACGAACAGCAGTTACGCATCGCCGACCAATCAGGTGGACGATAGGTTGAACTTGAGAATTCGCAGGCGCCAGGAGCAGCCGAACAAAATTTTTGAAATCTTCAAAACCATCTCGCTGTACTTGGCTGAGTTTATGCTAAGTCAGAGTTACAACGCTGCTCTCATCGTCATGATGGTTTGCATTTTTTAATTAAATTAGTTGATTAATTAATTAATTCATTCATTCATTAAAATTAACAAAAGAAATGTGTACCTGTAACGCCTTAGCGATGTAACAGCTAGTAACATTTTATAATAATGCTCGGACAATCCTACAATACTACTCTGCTTATTAATCTGAAACATTATTGTTAGAGCCGTAATCATCGGCGTTATCTGCATCGTAATCTTTGCCGACATCGTAGTTATCATCATCATAATCTATATCATCAGGCTTGGAGCATCACCTACCATAGTTGGCCGACCTTCCTCTTCTTGGTGGCAGCCTGCCTCATTTGGATGGTACCCCAAAAACGTGACCTTGTCCTCAAGACCAGTCCCGTCTTCGTTTTCTACGCTCTCATCCTGCTCTCCTTCAACTACATCTACGGTCTGGACCTCACCAGCGATGAACTGCCCAGCCCCATGGAGGGCAAAGGTTACAGCATGACCAAGATAGGACTAATTAGGAGAAACAAGCACCAGGAACCTTTCGTTGACCTGGCTATTCAGGTCGGTTGCTGTTTGTTTCATGTTTAGTTGTGCGGATGGATTGGCTTGATCGATTTGTTTCAGGTTTTGAAGTATTATCATTTCGATGTTTGTGCAATGTTTTGTTTTCTTCCATAGCTTTTAATCGTGTTTAATTATTTATTTTCTGTTAATCACCAGCATGAACGTGACTCATCGTAGTTACTATCGTTCATTTCATAAACGCCACTCTTTCATCTTTCCTTCCCTTGCAGAGCTTTTTCACCCTCGTCTTCATCCTGACCCTCCGCCAATCCAGGTGGGAGGCTTCGAAGGACGACCTTGACTTTGACAATTTGAGATCGGATTTCTACCTATCTCGCAAAATGTCAGGTGAGGTGGTTGGTGGTCATTTGATTTTAAGGCAACTTGATTGATGAATTTTGTTCAACTTGGATTATATGAGCATAAAATAAACATTATATTTACATTTTAACGGTCGTATGTTTGTCATCTTTACCCTATTTAATGCCTTAAATGTAACCAAATACTCAATTAAAAATTTTTCCGTAGTGATTCAATCTAAGACAAAAGCCAGTAGGATTATGAGACAGTTAGGTTGGTTGAATGATTGGTTGGTTGGTTGGTTGGTTGGTTGGTTAGCTGGATGGTTGGTTGATCGGTCGGTTGGTTGGTCGGTCGGTCGGTTGGTTGTTTGATCGGTCGATTGGTTGGTCGGTTAACTGATTGATTGATTGATTAATTAGATTTTAATTGATTGAATCGTTATAATGTTTAAATTAAAAGTTATTTAATTCTCATCGTATAAAATCATATTTCAACCTTATGTCACTCCATTGTTGTCATCATTGGCATCTTAATTGTTATCACCATATCATCGTCATCACCACAATGAACATCACCTAATCCTACTATCATTACAGTTGCCATCATCATCAACATAAGCCACCACCATCATTGCTATCATCATAAACATAACCACCATCATTACCATCATCATAAACATAACCACCATCTTCATCGTCATCATTTTCAACAGGAGCACTGATAAACGGTATATTGGTGAAATACTGGATCCTGGTCTGTTCCTTACTCTTCCTCGTCATGGCACTCCAGGAATCCGTGCTTTACAGGATCATCTACATGATCCTCTTTCTCTATTTCGTCATCACTTTTCAGGTTTGATAACAAACATTAGTATTTGCCTTCACCTGTATGTGTTATTTGTGTATCCCTACAAATGTGTGTGTATGTGTATGTTTGTTTGAGTAAGTGTGTGTGTGTGTGTGTGTGTGTGGTGTGGTGTGGTGTGTGTGTGTTTTAGAATGATGAGGATGAGGGTACATTTGATGACGGCGATGATGAGGATGGTGTGATGATGGAGATTGAAATGACGGTGATGGTGGCGATGATAATTATTATGACAATTCACCATCACACCATTTTATACTTTGCATGTTCTTGCTTTTTCTGTTGTGTTTGGCAGAGTTTGATTGACAGATTAAAATAAAAAGAAATTCACCACCACCACCATCAGCACCACCATCAGCACCACCACCGTCACCACAACCACCACCACCACTCTTATCACTATCAGGTCAGTTATCAGTTTTGGAGAATATGGGTGAGGGTGTTCTGGGTAATTGTTATCTTCTACTCAATGGTCGTCCTCATCTCCATATACGTGGTCCAGTTTGACGAGGTCATGGTCAGACTGAACACCATGAACGCCAAGAGCCCTATCATGTTCGTTACTACTGCTGCTGCTACTGCTGCTGCTACTACTACCGCTGCTGCTGCTGCTGCTTCTGTTGTTTTCTATCATGATTATTGTTATTATTGTTATTGTTATTGATGTTGTTGTTGTTATTGTTGGTGTTATTATTATTCGTATATGTTTGTAATGTGGCTCATATAATCTGTAATAAAAAAAATGTATTACACGCACATACACTCACACTCATACACTCACACACACACACAAACATTTACACAGACACACAAATACACTTACACACACACACACAAACATTTATACAGACACACATATACACGTATACACACATATAACATATTTTATATTATCTATCACTGCTCCCTTTTAAATGTGTTCATTGATTAATAATTAATATTTATGACTATTTCTACTCTTTTTTTGTTATTATTTTAATGTTGTTAGCGTTATATTGATAAATTATTATCATTATTAGTAGTAGCAGTGGTAGTATTTTTATGTTATCATTTTCACCTCGCACACATAGTAAAAGTAGTAGCAGCAGCAGCAGTAGTAATTGTAGTAGTAGCAGTTGTAAAGAATACAACAAACGACACTACACGCAACACAACTCACACCACACGACGCGTGACACATACTGGACACTTGCTACACATACGCGACACTTACCACACATACGCGACACTTGCCACACATACGCGACACTTGCCACACATACGCGACACTTGCCACACATACGCGACACCTGCCACACATAAACACACACACGCACACACACGCACGCACGCACACACACTCGACAGTTTGGAAGACATAGGCCTAAGAAAGTACAGTACCGGTGAATTGTTCGTGTCCCTACTCACACCAACATCCTTCCTCATCGTTGTCATTCTCCACATTCACTACTTCCAGAGTCAGTTTCTCGTCATTAGCGATGTTAATAGATACAGGTTTGTCGTTTTGCGTGTGTGCGTGCGTGTGTGCGTGCGTGTACGTGCGTCTGTCATTTTGTGTATGTATATCTGTTTTTCATTTATATTGTATTTTGTCATTATTTTCCGAGGATCGTAAAAGTTCTTTGGAACTTACTCTCAGCCTTTTGCAAACTAAAATTTCTTCTTCTCCTTTAGTGTTGTGTATGTGTGTGCGCGTGGTTTCGTTTGTATGTGTGTGTGTGTGTGTGCGTGTGTGTGTGCGTTTTGTGTATGCGTTAGTGTATATCATATAGACGTTTGTGGGTTTGTGTGTTGTCATCTGCTTGCATGTTTGTTTCTTATTGGGTTGGGTTGATGTGTATATTTGCTTTAAATGAAATTGCTGTGTAGTGTATATTTACTTTGAATGAATGAACGAACGAATGAATGAATGAACGAATGAATGAATGAACGAACGAACGAATGAATGAATGAATGAATGAGTGAATGAATGAATGAATGAATGAATGAACATACAAAAGAATGAAATAAACGACCGAACAAATGAATGAATGAATATAGTCGCGAGATTGATAAAAAAGGATAGACGCAATTGATTGTAATGATTCAAATAGTTGAGCACTCGACCTGATAAATAAAATGAATAAATTATTGAACGAAATAAAAAAAACTATTATATATACTACCGCTGCTTTCACTGTTACTAATACTGCTCAGATAGTGGTGACTACTGCTACTTTTGCTGCTACTATTACTACTACTAATGCTGCTGCTGCTACTACTGCTGCTACTACTACTGCTACTACTACTACTACTGCTACTGCTACTACTACTATTGCTATTACTACTACTACTATTACTACTACTACTACTACTACTACTACTGCTACTAAAATTACTCATCATCTTGGCTAGTGTTGATGCAGTATTATCATTTTTTTTCATTAACTAAATTGATTAATTAATTACTTAATTAATTAATAATTTCGTCAATTTGTTTCTAATCAGTTGAGTTGGTATTTAATTAATTACAAAAAATTATAGTTAATGTATGTTAGTTAAATAAAAATAAATAAATAAATAAAATAAATGATAAATCTTTTCAAACGCTATTGTTGATGGTATCATCATTTCTATCATCATTTCTATCATTGTTTTTTTTATCATTTGTATCATCATTTGTATCATAGTTTGTATCATCGTTTGTATCATAGTTTGTATCATCATTTGTATCATCATTTGTATTATAGTTTGTATTATCATTTGTATCATCGTTTGTATCATAGTTTGTATCATAGTTTGTATCTTCGTTTGTATCATAGTTTGTATCATCGTTTGTATTATCATTTGTATCATAGTTTGTATCATCGTTTGTATCATAGTTTGTATCACCATTTTTGTTTGCGTCAGCAACACGACAAACGTGGAAGTAATAAGAATGGATGATGAAGATGGAGACGGTGGCGACGATGATGATCTGTTTGCTAATGCCTCTGGATGTGTGTAAATTTTCAACCAATCTATCCGCTAACAATTTTTTCATTCATTTTTCTTCTATCCACTCATTAATTAATTCATTTATGCATTCACTGGCATTCATCTGACTATCCGTTCATGCATTGGTCGATTCATTCATTTACTAATTTATTCATCTATCCATTATCCCATTCATTCTCCCATTCATTCATTCATTCATTCATTCATTCATTCATTCATTCATTCATTCATTCATTCATTCATTCATTCATTTATTCATTTATTCATTCATCCATTCATCCATCCATTCATTCATTCATTCATGCATTCATTCATTTATTCATTCATCCATTCATCCATCCATTCATTCATTCATTCATTCATTCATTCATTCATTCATCCATCCATTCATTTACTCATTCATTCATTCATTCATTCATTCATTCATCCATTCATCCAGTCATCCATCCATTCATTCATTCATTCATTCATTCATTCATTCATTCATTCATCCATTCATTCATCTATTCATCCCCGAAGCATGGGAAATGAACATGCGACGTATCTACTTGTACATCAAACGAACCTACCACGAACTCGCCAACCTGCTCTGGCGAATCTTGGAGGTTCATATGTCAAAGATCATCGTCATCTTCATCATCGTCGTCTGCACTTATGATGTAAGTCGTTTGTATCATCATTTTTATCATCATTCGTATTTTCGTTTGTATTATCATTCCATCATCATTTGTATTATCGTTTATTACATGTTGGTTTGTCAGTTTGTATGTGTGTGTCTGTGTGTGTGTTTTAATGATTATCGTTATCATTGTCGTCATAATCGTCATCATTACTGAATGAATGAATAAATGAGTGAATGAACGAACGAACGAACGAACGAACGAATGAATGAATGAATGAATGAATGAATGAATGAGTAAATGAAACAAAAAATAAATGGAAGAATAATTTAATGCACGAGCTATTAAATGAACATATAAGAAAATGAATGAATTATTTGATTGTTGATTAATTGATATACAGGTATGTGCCTTAAACGTCCTCTTGCTGTTGGTTGCTCTCATACTGTATCCTCTAAATTTCCATCACACTCTCTCCATCCTGACGATGTTCTACTCTTCCTTCATCATCATCACCCGCATGGTCTATCAGTTGAGTATATTCGAAGAGAAAACATTTACAACCGAATGTCTGGTCAGTCAGTGAGATAGTGATGTCTTGTGGAGGGAGGGGATGTTGGTGTTCACTGTTTGCATGAGAATGAAGACTATGGTCCCTCTGTTTATAAATGCATCCATTTGCTGTCACAGGCCTTAATGTCGGAAAAAAATGGGATGAATTTTATTTGTCATCGTTATCGTCGTCATATTCGTCATTAACTTCATCATAATCATGGATTTTTTCCAGTTCAAGCAGGCTGAGTATGACGTCATAGCCTACAATGGCACGGTCAGCGCTGTTGCCTATTTCGGCTACAGGAAAACCAACAACATCTTTTTCGAGGTCAAGGTAAATGGGTCTTCGGGTCATCTATTTTTAATTCACGGTCTACATTTGGGGAAATTTGATCATTGTTCTTATTATAGGTGCTGACTGTTGAAGTTTTTGACTTGGTTGTCTTCTCTATCAGTTGATGTTCATTTTAAAAATGGCGTCGTTGACTGTGATTATAATTTTGATTTATTTATCAGTTTTTAAGTTTAGTTTCGATTTGAAAATCATTGTTACTTCATTTTTATTTATCGTCACCCCTTCATCATCAACTTCACCCACCACTGACGAATCATCGACCACCGCCGCTTCACCAGTTGTACGTCTGCCTGGTCATCCTGCTGGCCTTAGAGATGGTCATCTCCACGCGACAGAAGCAGCACTACAACCACCCGCGACACTTGCGACCATACAAGGGAGTCATCTTCTACGGGGTCAACAGGGGCAACGCTGACGTCACTGTTACCTCGTGGCTCAAGTTTTTTGCCAATTATGGATTTTATAAGTTTGGAAAAGAGGTTATTTATATATAGCAATTCATATTCGATTCACACAGGCACCTGCACACATTTACTCGCTCGCATGCATTAGCTTACTAGAATTTATTTCAGTGTCTGGTTTAAACGTATTTAACTCTCACCTGAAGTCGAATGCGTAAGCTAATATCTAGTTTATATAGTTTATAATTCACACATTCATTTTTTGATACATCATCCATCCATTTTATAGGCACGAACATTATTCATCCACCCATCCACTAATCAATCAATTAATCAATCAATTAATCAACCCATACGTACATACACTCGGACCATCTACGTGTCCATCGTCGTCAATAGATCTGTTTCATCTTCGTGGTCATCGTCATGACGACACGCTTGGACGCCTTCAGTTTGGTCCACGGCCTCCTACTTGGGTGCCTCATCTTCCTACGCAGGTGGGCCTGCCGCCGGGTGTGGCCCGTCTACATCTTCCTCCTCATCATCGCCGTCTTCGTCCAGTACCTCTCGTGCCTCGGACTACCCAAGTCCCTCTGCATCGGTTGGTCAGTTTGCTGACGGATGTGACATTCATTTTGTAGTTTTTTTTAGTTTTGCACTTGCATTATTTCATGTATTTTTGATGCATCGAAAGATTTTTATTGATTGAAATGGCGATTAACGTTCTTTTTTCGTTGCTCATAAGTTTGTTTTTAATTCAATGTCGCTAATTAACTGTTTTTTTTGCGATGTTCACTACAGTTTTTTGATAATATAGGATAGTTAATTTTTTACAATTTTTTTAATGTTTTTTTTTACATTGAAACAATTTCTTCTTCCGCAGATTACCCGTGGAACTTGAATGGTTACAGCAAAGTTTTCACGAGAAACCTCAAGGTCTTCCTCTTCCTTCCCGATTACGTGCTACCTCCGTATGCTCTCAAAATCATTGGTTGGTTGTTGCTGTTGATGGGCTGTTGTTGTTCTTGTACATCTTTCGAGTTCATCTATTTTCGTTGATGAATATACTCCTCACTCTGAAGTATACAAAATAAATTATAGACTAAGAACGTATTTTGCTCTCACTCTTTTTCTTTCTTTTTCTTTCTCTCTCTCTCTCTCTCACACACACACACACACATACACACACGCATGCACACACATGTACAGCTGATTTCGCTTTGTTCATGTTGGTTTGTTTGCAACGAAACGCCTTCAAGAAGGAGTGCTCCTTCAAATCCACACGTGACGTCAACCCGGATGACGAGGGCGGGTCTAATGACTCCATGGTCCTCTCAATTAACTTCGATGTCATCAACCCCACAAAGGATTTCATTCTTTACAAGAAGTTTGCTTCGTTGTTGTTGTTGTTCATTTCCATCAACATTTCTTCAGTATTTCAATGGTCTTTTGACTCTCACTTAGATTACATAAAAGTGCGATTTTTCTTCTCCTCTCTATCTATCTACTATCTATATAGTATCTACTATTTATCTAGTATCTACTATCTTCTTATCTTTCACCATATTTTCCTCATCTCATTTATTGTCCTCTAGCTCCTACCTGGATTACGTGAAGGTGGGAGTCTTTTACTATTCCTTCTGGCTGACCCTATTGATCCTGTTCATAGCCGGAACATTCCGTGTCAACCTGCTTTGTTTGGGGTACTTGCTTGGGTGTTTCTTCTTCCTCTGGCACGGTCAGAGTCTCTTGCTGAAGCCGCTGAAGCACATTAAGAAAGTGTGAGTTGTTGTTGTTACTGCTGTTAAAGGTTACTCTCTCTCTTTTGAGTTTGCTTCAGAGGTTTCAACGACAAACACACACAGCGTATATGAATACGCGTGCAAACCACGCATCATACACATTGCATATGATAGGCGGGGATCTCTTTGTATTCGAACCCAGCCATTGCAATAGCAAGACCAGGCGCCTTTAACCATTGAGCCATCACGCCGCCGTTATTGTTGTTGTTTTTGTTGTTGTTGTTGGTGGTGGTGGTGGTGGTGGTGGCGGCGACGGTGATGATAGTCGTAGTAGTAGTGGTAGCGGTAGTAGTGGTGGTGGTGTTAGCTGTCGTTGATTATGTTACTGCTTTTAATTGAGTGACAGTCAGAGCCGATTATGATGCTATTATATTATTATTATTATTATTATTTAAATTTCTATTATTACTATTATTATTATTTAAATTATCATTATTATTATTTTTCAAATTATTATTTTATCGTGCAGATGGCTAATCATGTTGTTCTATATTTTCTTTGCTATCATGGTCAAGTGTGCTTTGCAGGTTAGTTTACGATGATGATGATGATGATGAAAATAATAATAATGATTATTATTATTGTTGTTGTTGTTATTGTTATTATTATTATCTTCATTGTTATCATCGTCAATACTATCATTTTAATTATATCCATTATCATCGTTGATATTCTCATCAATTTCATCACCATCTTTTTTATCATCGTCGTCGTCAACATCGTCATCATTATCGTTATCATCATCGACATTATTATCGTCATCATCGTCGTCGTCATCGTCATCATCGTCGTCAGGGGGTTGGTTGCATATATTACGGTAGCTTAAGTGATAAAGTGATTAACTTGTTGCACGTGTCATGTGTTCCCGTGCCAAATTATGAAGTTCCTCCTGCTCAAGATGGTCGGTTGTCTGATTGATTGTTTGATTGTTTGGTTGGTTGGTTGGTTGGTTGGTTGGTCGGCCGGCTGATTGGTTAGGTAGATGATTTCTTTTGTTTTATGTTATACGGTAATAAGCGATTGATTTGTTTATATTAAAATTTATTGCTTGATGACGATTGGCGATGATTAAATGGTTGATTGATGGTTTATCATAAAAATTATTAAAATAATAATAATTAAGATGATTGAAACCAGGATCGAGACCACAGTTTGATAGGGAGAAGCTGGGATTCGCGTGGGATGCCATGGGATTCGCGATGGTCCTGCTCCTTCTCAGAATACACAAGTCCTGGTTCTTCCAACATGTTGTTAATGAACTTCACGTTGATAGTGTTCTGGCTTCCAGGTGAGATTATCCCGGTTTCAGTGTTGTTCATGGCACCTGTATTTATGTTGCTGTTCTTTTGTTTGTTTGTTTGTGTGTTTGATTTTGTTTGTTTGTTTGTTTTTGTGTGTGTTTGTTTTTTGTGTGTTTGTTGGCATTTTTATTTTGTTATTGTTATTCGCTACTGGTGTTTGTGCAGCGAATTGTTTGACACCAACATTTCTAAAAACAACAACAACAACAACCTACTGAAAATAAATGAACGCTAACGAACTTTTTAACAACAACAACAACAACATCAACATCGTCAACAACAACATATCATCAAAAACAACAACAACATCGTCAACAACAACATATCAAAAACAACAACAACAACATCGCCAACAACAACAACATGTCATCAGAAGCAACACAACCACGTGCAACAAAAACAAACAGAGGCAGCGAACTGATAGTAGAAATGACTCAACGGAGGATAGAGACGCAGAGAAAGTATGAGATGAGCATACTGGACAAGATCAGACTGAAGGTCGAACGCATCAGAGAGAACCTGCTGAAAAAGCAAGAGGCAACTAATCAGCCCATCGTTCAATATGCTGATCATTATCAAGGTGACGTTGATTGGGATGATGATGATGATGATGACGGTGATGATGCTGGTTGTGATGATGATGACGATGTTGATTGGGATGATGATGACGATTTGGTTGGGATGATGGTGTCTAAAGTATAAACCTGATGATGTTGATGGCGTTGTTCTTTCTTAATGGCGGCTTGCGTTAGAGCATGCTATATTTCGATTCTAACATCATTATTAAAATAAAAATTATTATTATTTTTTACTACCATCAACAGTTTTATTATATTAAACTCCATCATCTTCATCGTTACCATCATCATTATCGTAACATTATCACCGTCATCATCAATTACAGTTATTAGGTCAGGTGACTACTACATGTTCGAGCACCTTGACCTAGATTCGAACAGTAGTGAGGTCAAGGACGAAGACATCCTGTCCACTGAGGCCCAGAAAAAAATGGCCAAGACCCCTACAGTGGCTGAGGTTGGTTCTTACTTGATTGTGATTGCATGCAGTCATTCATTCAATCAATCGCCCAATCAATCCATCAATCAATTAATCTGTCAATCACACAACCAATTGTCCAATCAACTAACAGAAATTTAAATAATTCAACCACTCACTCACTCATTCACTCAGCTCTTCAACATAGTATCGATCGCCAACATGGAGACGGCCATAAAGTTCTGGAGTGATTGGATGAGAGAAAACAGGCCGAAGAATGACGGAGAGAAGAAGGAAGGAAAAAAGAGAGATGTTGAGGAGGAAGGAAGAGAGGGTGATGGTCATGGGGTGGAAGAAGAGGATTTGCAAGAAGGGACATCTGATGGGACTGTTATAGTTAGGGTACGATGATGATGATGACGATGATGATGATGATTATGATGACGAAAATGGTGACGACGATGATGATAATGATCGACCGCAACAGCCACACCATAAGCCAGTAGTACCAGAGAACGAGAACCTTCTTGCAATCATCAAGGATGTTACCGGCGCTAAGAACCTCGTGCCCTCTGACGTCGACCCACCCGTCAAACAGAAACGTTTGTGACGATGGTGGTGGTGATGAGGATGAATGTGATGGTGATGATGAGAAGGAGGAGGATGATGATGACGATGAATGTGAGTGGTGATGATGATAGTGATGATGATGAGGATGATGATGATGACGATGAATGTGAGTGGTGATGATGAGGAGGAAAAGGATGATGACGAAGATGATGTTACGTTGATACGACGACATGATTGGACAGGATCCGTAGCTCAGACGATCCGGATAAGTTTCTACTTCGGCTACATCGTCACTTGGGCTGGCGCTGAGCAGCTCATCGTCTTCCTCAACAGTCTGGCCCAGGATTACATCTCCATCTCGGATATCCTCTTTGAAGAGAAACAGAAGATTAAAAAGGTGGTGACGATGATGATGGTGATGATGGGGAGGAGGAGGATGATGTTGATAAGGATGATGACGATGGTGATGAAATAACAATTGGATCGTGGTGCTTATAAATTGCAGGATATTTATGATGTGTGAGACCGTGTTTATTGCTTGAGAGAAAAAAAGAGAGAGAAAAAGAGAGAGATAGAAAGAGAGAGAGAGTAATAGAGAGAGAGAGAGAGAGAGAGAAAGAGAGAGAGAGAGAAGAGAGGAATGAAAATTATGGTGGTAAAGGAGGAGGAAGTATTTTTATGATAATAAGAAGGATGGTGATGATGAGAATGTTTAGAACTGGTTATGGTGAATCTTCACCATATTAACAAGTAACTGACGACCATCCGATATTTATTTGAAAGATTTATTGAAATTCAACCAGGCAACGATTCTCTACCGTTCAAACTTGCTCTCGGAGGACAGGTTTGTTGGGTGGCTGAATTTTTAAAATTGATAATTTTTTAAATTGAATTTTATTCACTTTAATTTTTTAATGGGAACAAATGTAATTTCAAGTCAAATCCTTACCTACTACACCAATACTAGAACAACTGACACATGTAGTTGTTTGTTCCACGATTTAAAATTTCATTAGCGATATTTTCACTATTGAAATCATTCTCCCACTGCAGTTTCCACGAGGAACCAGCTGACTGGGCAAGCCACCACCACCACCGCCAGTACACTGACCACCAACATCCACATTCGCCTGATGCGGCCAGTCCCATCGACGACGACAAGGCAGTCCTTACGACCACCACCCCATCAACAACAGCAGACCAGCCACCTCAGCAGTTGTCCTTCAAATACAAGCTCAAAACTTTCGATCCTTTCACTGAGATCAAGAAGATCGCCCACCTGTTGCAATCATCTTCGGCGCAGGATCTCGCCTCGTCGCAGCAGGACCAGCCACAGACGCCAACGTCCCAGCCGCCTAGTCTTCCCCCTCATCACCATCATCACCTTGCTCTACCGCTGGTTATATTCAATTCCTGTTACACCGTTTTTCTGAGCAACTCTGAACTTCTGTGTTACTTCGCCATGGTGTTGAATGCAATTGTCTACGGCAGCATCCTGTCCGTGGTCTATCCGGTCACGGCCATTCTCTGGGCCATGATGACCTGCCCTCGACCCAGTAAACGATTCTGGCTCTTTGCTATTGGATACACGGAGGTGGGTGGGTCGTTTTTTGTTGGTTGGCTGGTCGGTTGGTGATTGGTGTGCGTAACAGTTGAGTGAATGATTGGTTTTTGAGTTGAATATCTATTTGATCGAGATCGTGATTAACTATTTTGTTAATCAACTAATTTATCGATCATTTATTCAACCGACCAGCTAGCCGGTCGATCAGTTGTTTGATCAATTTAAAATTCATTAAACTTACTCGCACCCACAACAAGCTCTCATTCCACGTACGTATTCGTCATTTCAGATATGCATAATCGTCAAGTATGTCTACAAATTCGTCAGTCCCTACACTGACCAACCGGACGTTGTGAACAAGGACACTTTATTTCAATGGCCCTACATGCTCGGGCTCGCCAACATGACGCACTTCGATATCTTCCTTCTTTTCTGTCTCTTCTTCCATCGTTCCGTTCTTATGGTGAGGTTTATTTTTTTCAGATGGAGTGAGAAAAAATTTCATTCTTCTATTTGTTTTTACTCATTTATTTTAATTATTCAATTATTTAACTGTTTATTTATTTGTTACATTTATTTTATTTTTATTATTTCTTCGTACATTTCAGCAACACGGACTGTGGGATGAAGCTGCTACTGGGAAGGTGATCAGTTGATCGATGAATGAAATGATTGATTGATTGATCGATTGATTGATTGACTGACTGATAAAAATGTAATTGGATGAATGAATGGATGGATTGAGGGTTTTTTTTCAATGACCAACTTTTGTCAAATAATTCATAATTTTTTTTCATCTTCATATTCTATTTCTACATACGTCTCTTAATTATTCATTCAATTTAACTATTCATTCATCCATTTACACATTTATTCAATCAAGATTCATGCATTTATTCTTTCAATCATTCATCATTTTTTTCATTCATTTCAATCACGGCATTCATCTATCTGTATTTCACCTGTGTAATAAGCGGGGATGCCTTATTGGATTATTGATACAAAACTCATCTGAACATTTTATCATTAAGCATATGCAAGCATGTACTGCTGCTTTTATAATTTCATTCTATAAACAAATGACTTAGAAAATTTTTTAACAAAATTATTTTAAACTTGTGGAGGCCATTGTTTAAAACCGTTTTAAAATATCTTCGAATGAAATGATATTAAAATAAAAATCTTCGACCGATGAACTCAGACGTTACAATTCATGTTGTTAACGTAACGTAACATAACTTAGAAGAAAAACTATGAGTGCCGGTCAAACTTATAAGCCTGCGTGTAAAACTGTTTGCTTCTTCAATTAAATATTTTGTCTGTCCGTCTGTCTTTTATTATGCAACTTTTGCACAGACAGAACTGCTTAGATAGCATTCTGGACTTGGGCTTTCATGCCACAAAGGCATTACGTACCATCCACACGACACCACACGGCTTATATACATGTTTTTTACATACGCGCAAGCACCGCATGTCGTGTGATAGTTTTTGAATTCTGGACAGTATTCGAACCCGGTCATTGCGTGATAGCAAGACGCGTAGACATGGGCGCTTCTACCGTTTCAGCTAACTGGCCGACATAAATATAAAATGTAACTGTAACAATGACAATATGTTTTTTAGATGCAACCGAAGCAAAAACTGGAGGATCCTGAAGATGAGATGGCAGTTTTGGCAGCTCCCAAACCATCGAGACCTGCACCATCGCCATCATCGGCAGAACAGGAGGCATCATCCCCATCATCACTGCCCCCCTTAACGGGTCAACCTTCCACTCTGAGGAAACGAAATGTTAAAAAGTTTAAAAATAAAAACGAGAAAGGAAAAATTGATGATGGCGTGGATGGTAGAGATGCTGAAGTCGTGGACGGTGATGCGAGGGAGAAGAAGTCAGATGACATCAAGTTGAAATCAATGAGGACGATAACATTCGATGGTGACGACGACGCTGGTGCCGCTGCTCTGGCTGGTCATGATGATGATGATAACGAGGCTGGTGATGATGACGATGACGAAGAAAGCGGCATGGAGGATGAACTCGTCCGATTGTTTGTTGATGTTTTTCATAGCAATTAATGTGATCGTTTTTGTCCTTACAGAAGTTTATTCATCCGATTTTGTGTTCATTAATCCATTGTCATATTTATTCAGCCACTCAAATGCTTTAGTCGTAAGTCATTTAGTTGATTCCTTGTCGATTTAATAACTAAGAACATTACAAGAATTGGCATCTATTGTTTGATCAAATTTTTCATCGATCAATTATTCAATCAACAAACGGTTTAGTTTGTCAATCAATTAACATGTCAATTACAATCATTATGCAACAAACTATAAAAAAATCTGCTAAATAAATCATTCGTTTCCCGGCTCACTCCTTCACTCACTCTTTCACGCACGCACTCACTCATTTATTCATTCACTTACTCACTCAATCACTTACTCATTCATTCACTCACTCACTCACTAACAACCGACTGTGTCCAGGTGTTGCGAGAACCCCCTAATACGCCCCCTGTACAACTACTGCAACAACCTCCGCGATCAGTCTTTCAGAGCGGCCACCGACGTTTACGTCTTTATGTTCCTCACCGACCTCATCACCTTCCTCATCGCCGTCTTTGGCTTCTCATCCTTCGGTCCTAATGTTAGTCTGGTTGTGATGATGGTGATGATGGTGTGGATATCTGTGATGATGAGCGTGAAGAAGAAGAAGATGATGATGATGATGGTAGTTGTGATAATGATTGTGATGATGATGATGATAATGATGTTGATGATGTTGATGATGATCACGACGTCCGCCTATGTTTAAGCCTCTGCATTCATCCCAAATGATCTTATTATAACTTTTCTCATGGAGTCATCTATGTTAGATGGATATATCGGTATGAGGCTTCATGCGATTTAAGATTTTTTTCCGTTTCGGTGTCCTTTATTATATTTATTTTATTGCGTTTTATGCGTTTTAGATCTGTTAAAAAAAGTAATAATAATAATAGTAATTTGTTAGTATTCAAACTGACCTTGACCTTAACCTCCGTCTGGACAGGATGCATCGGCTAACAACGACGGGAAAGTGACCACTGTGCTCAAAAGTAACAAGGTCGGGTTTTTATTTTTATTATTATTATTAGTAGTAGTAGTTGTAGTAGTAGTAGTAGCAGCAGTAGTAGTATCAGTAGTAGTTGTAGTAGTTGTTGTTGTTGTTGTTGTTGTGGTTGTTGTTGTAGTAGCAGTAGTAGTTGTAGTTGTTGTTGTTGTTGTACTTGTTCTTATATTCTATCATCAATCCATTCGTTTGTTTGTTTATATGTTGATTCGTAAATTCATTCATTCACTCGCCCATCATTCATTTGTTCTTTCATTTTATTACTCATTCATTTGTTTACTCATTTATTCATTAACTCACTCATTCGTTCATTTATTTATTTACTTATTCGTTCCTTCCTTCCTTCATTCAAATGGGTAGATCCCATCAGCTCTGCTCGGCATGTTGTTAGTTCAATTCATCTTCATCATCATCGACAGAGCTCTATATCTTAGGAAACAGGTGGTGATGATGATAACGATGAAAATGGTGATAGTGACGATGATAACGGTGATGATGGTGGTGGCGATGATTATGCTGTTAATTTTGGCGAAGTGATTAAGATATATTTAATTCTAGTGAGGTTGACGCTGATGATGATGATGATGATGATGATGATGATGATGATGATGATACATACAAACGCCGAACGCATTTGATGGTAAAGTAGCAATCTATGATGATGACGACAATGTTGATGCAGATATGATGATGTCATTTTCAATATTGTTGTTGTTGTTGTTAGGTGTTCCTGAAATTCATCTTCCAAATATTTCTCGTTGTTCTGATACATGCCTGGATCTTCATTGGTCTACCCGAAGTCACGCAAAGGTGAGGGCGTGGTTTCTTTTGTGGCTGTCGATTTTCATTGGCCAGTTGTATGGCAGTCGATTTTCATTAGTGGATTGAAAGATTTTTAGCGATGTAACAAGCAGTTGTTATTTGGACTGCCCTAGTTTGATTGATTGATAACGATTTATTTATTTATTTCATTGGCTTTGTAGAGTTATAATGTCAGCTGGATACATTTGTAGGTGATTTCATCATTCGTTCATTGCATTAGTTCAATAATCTGCATCAAAAGCAGCGCCGACATCACAACCAACACTGAATAAGTGTGGCCGATTATAACAATCCTGTCGCTGTAATCGTCATTATGTCATTACCATCATCAGCTTCATCATCGTCTTCATCATCGTCTTCATCATTGCCCTCATCATCGTCCTCATCATCATCTCCATCATCATCTTCATCATTGTCATCATGATTACGATGAGCAGACGTTTTGTGAACAACGTGGCGGCACAGATTTGGTACTTTGTGAAGTGTGTGTACTTTGTACTATCAGCCTATCAGATAAGATCTGGCTACCCCACGTGCGTGCTTGGAAATTTCCTCACTAAGAAGTACAACTATTTCAATCTCTTCAGCTTCCAGGCGTTAGTTTCATGAGAGGGAGTGTTGTTGTTGTTGTTGTTGTGGCTGCTATTATTATTATTATTATTATTATTGTTGTTGGTGGTGATAGATGATTCATCCATCTACTCATCACTCACTCACTCACTCTCTCTCTCTCTCACTCATTCACTCAATCGTGAAGTTTCCTAGCCATCCCATACCTACTGGAATTGAGAGCCTTGATGGATTGGATGTTCACCGACACCACCCTCTCACTGTCAAGCTGGTTGCAGATGGAGGACATTTACGCCAATGTCTTCTGCGTCAAGTGTAATAGGAGTGCCGAGAAGGTTCGGTGGATTGATTATTTCAATTATTTACTTAATTAATTAACTAATTAAATATTTTATAAATTTATTTACTTTACTACTTTTTTTACATTTAAATTCAGCTATTTTTCAATTTATTAATTTATATTTTTTGTAATGCTCGACAGTTTTTTTAAACTTGTAAATATGAATTGCATCACATTTCATCGCGTCTGTTTTCATTATAAAGAGCAAGCAACGTCATTACCAAACTTCATCACTCATCGGCCATCGTCATCATGTTCATCGTTCTTTTTTTAATTTTAAACATAAAGCGTTACAAAACGCCTCGAGGTAACAAGAGGGCCGCCCTGGTAAAATACGGATTGGGGGGGATCATTTTAGTGGCCCTGGTCATCATCATCTGGTTCCCTCTCCTCCTTTTCAGTATGTCCAATGCCATCTTCCTTACAAGTCAGCCGTCTGAAGTTTATGTCGATATCAAAATTGCCGGCTATGAGGTCGAGTCGTCAATCAATCTTTCCACCAATCAATCAATCAATCAATCAATCAATCAATCAATCAATCATTCAATCAATTTTTCAATCAAGCTTTCAATCAATCTTTCAATCAATCTTTTAATCAATCAATCATTCAACCAAGTTTTCAATCAATCACTTTTTCAATCAATCAATCATTAAACATCATTTATATCATCTTAATCATCATCATCAGGAGTTATTCAAGATGACGTCACAAGCCGTCGACCCCTTCACGTCCGCTGATTATGATTACTTCTATATGAAAAATTCATTTGTTAGTTAATGATTTGTTGTTGTGGTTGTTGTTTGTTGTTGTTGTAATTGTTGTTGTTGTTGTAATTGTTGTTGTTGCTGTTGTTGTTGCTGTTGTTGTTTTTGTTGTTGCAATTGTTGTTGTTGTTGGAAATTGATCCTGTCGTCACAGCATCCTGACAAACGACAACCACATTACAAATTCGTCCCTGAAGTTCATGACCCAGTACCAGACGTCGGACATCTGCAACGTGACAATCAAGGGGGAGTCAGGTTCGGTGTGGTCTATCACCCCGCCCGCCCTCAACGACCTCGTCAAACAACTCGAGAGGAAGGACAAGGTCAACTTCATTTTCAGCATGCAAGTTCGCAGGTAGGTTGTTGTTGTTATCGTTTTTTTGTGCTCTTTCGGTTATGACGTCATCGATGATCATGGTTGGCGATTGTTTTGATTTTTTTTTACTTTGTTTTGTCGTTAATTTTTTTAGCTTTTACATCCAGGTCGGTCGGTTCACTTGTGATTTTTAGAAATCTGCCATATTCTTTAGTCATTTTATCTTGACATTATTTTGTTGCTGTTGGCTTGTTTACATTCATTTTTATTTAAACTTGTTAGATTGATGATTTTTTGTTAACTATGGTGTAGATGATAACAATGACGACGATGATGATGACTTTGATGACGACGATGATGACAGGGACCCGAAAATAGGAGGCGAGATAACGTACGGCCAGTTCAAGAGAGCACTTGACCGGAACAACACGGAAGACGCCATGATCAGAGATGGCCTTATCAACCTCATACGGAGAACATCTAATGAATCCGTGTTTGTTTCATCTCTCCTCTTTGTTGATTTTTTCTTATCTGTGTTTTTTTATATTTATTCTCACCATCATTATCTTTTTTATCATCATTTCCTTCTTCATCTTCTTCGTCATCATCTTCTTCATCGTCATCTTTTTCTTCATCACCATATTCATCATCATCTTTTACTTCATCGTCTTCTTCATCGTCATCTCGACAGGACACTGATGAACGTCTTTCCCCGCCTGATCCTAGTACCCGCCAAAGGAGTAATCAGCAGTGTCGAGAGGAGTTTCGTCAAACTGGGACCCAATGGTATTTTGAAAAATTTTCATCATTCATCTCCATCATCGTCTTCTTCATCATCATCACCATCTTCACCATCATCTCTACCGACGACTTCTCCATTACCATCGTCACAGTCATTCTTATCATCATCACTTTCATCATCGTCACAATCATCTTCATCACCTAGACACAATCATCTCCATCATCACCCAGACACAGACACAGAGCAGACGGGCAGTCTGAAACTGACCCTGCACTCACCGAGTAACTTCACGTACTGGTGGTCCATACAGCAGTACTTCAACACCAGCGATGACGAGTTCTTCATGGAGGACCCCACCGCAAGGGCCAACAAAAATAGGGCCACTCCAAGGTTTTTTTGTCGTTTTTTGTTCATTGGTTCTTTTTTGGCAGTTTCTTTTGTTTGTAACATTAATCAAATAGAGCAACATTATCAAATCAAAACCAACAAAGCCATTCATTCTTTCACTCACTCACTCATTAAATCAATTATTCATTCACTCATTCATTCATTCATTCATCCATCCATTCATTCATCCATCCATCCATTCATTCATTTATTCATCCATTCATCATTAATCTATTTATTTATTTACACATCTGCCCATTAATTGAACAGGCCCATCATCTCCACAACAATCCGTCCCCTCATGAGAACGATCCCTCGAACCCGTCAGAAGAACGTCTCGGCCGCACCCACCCACCCGCACCCAGCGACGGACTACGGAGGCATGCCGTCAGTTGTGGACACCAGCTACTCCGTGTCCAAGGACAAACTCCAGCTGACCATGTTCAACGAGAGAGTTGCTCCCTCTGGCGTTCTCTCTATCATTAATAATTACGGGTTTGCACTTTTAAATTATTATAATATTAATAATGATGATGATGATGATGATGATGATGGTGATGATGATAATGATTTTACGTTTGCTTATGAGTTTTCGATATTTTGTCATCACGAACAACACGAACAACCATAACTACGACACTACACAATTTACCGCAATAATCCACACCACACGAAACCACACGACGACTGACCACAAAAACGCAAGCGACACGACAACTGACGACAATGGGCAGCCACGCCGCACGGTTCAACACTACAAAGCTACGATACAATCCCCACCTGACACTGCCCTGCACACGACACAGAGTGATAGGTCTGTACGTATCTCTTGTGCTCGTCATCGGCCGCTTCCTCCGAATGTACATCCAAGGACTTAGCTTCAAGATCATGTTTGTTGAACTGCCCGACCCGCAAGTGCTTCTGACACTCTGTCAGGATATCTACATGGTCAGGGAGTCCAAGGAGTTCAGACTGGAGGAGGAGCTCTTCTCGCAACTTATATTCCTCTATAGGTCTCCTGAGACTCTTATTAAAGTTACGAAGCAGAGAGTTGATTGATTGATTGATTGGTTGGTTATTGGCTGATTGGTTAATTGATTGATTGATCGTTCGATCGATCGATTGATTGATTAACGATGTTTTGAGTAGCTTGACCTTGTTAAACGTATAAATAAATTACTGTTTTGCTAAATTTAAGGCGACGGTGAACTATCATTCTAATCATTATTTTATTTATTATTTCCATTGTTTTTTGTTATTTTTGTTATTATTATTATTATTATTATTATTATTATTATTATTATTATGACACTTGATCTTCAGCTCGCATATTCATTGGCTCAATAAACACGTCAACAAATATCTATCTTATCAATTTGATAATAAATTACATTTAATTTGTTTATAATTGTAATAATAATTATTATTACTATTTATTATTATTATTACTATTATTTATTATTATTATTCCATTAAATTCTCGTGTCGTTGTTGCCGCGTTGTTGATGATTATGATGTCGTTGGTTTTTTTTCTTCTTTTTTGTCTCAGCTTGTTTGACATTTATTTTTAAATATTTCATTTTATTATTATTATTTATATTATTATGATTTACTTATATATGCAATCATTCCAGTAAGACACTTTTTTTCACTGGTTTAATATTTACAATATCCGGAATTCTAAACGTCATTATCCGTCTAATAATAATAATTTTATTATGTAAATATAATAATTATTGTTATTATTATTAATATTGTTATGTATTTTTTTGGTTTAGTCAAGTTTATTGATGTATATTTATTAGTATATATATATTAGTGAATGATGTTATGATAGAACTACCAACTACCCATATATACCATCTTTGTGTATATACATAACAAATATATATGCTTCATTAGATTGTGTGAATGTGTACGTGCGTGTCTGTGTGTGCATGCGTGTGTGTCTGCGTGCGTGTGTGTGACAATCATGTGACGTCACAAATAGATGACCACTTCCTTAATTTGGAGTTAATTTTTTCGTATTAGTACTTCGACTTTTCCTTTTTTTTTCAAATTTAATTTAACTTTTATTTCGCTACTTTGAATGTGATGCAGTGATGACTTATATTATAATGAATAAAAGGAGCGATAATAATGAGAATAAACTCTCTTTTTGATTCTCTTTTCTGTGACATACCAATAGTAAATATCTAAGTTTTGTGTATAAATATTTTGTAATTTTGTGATTAATACGTTCAAACGCACAAACTCATGCACTGCACATATACACACGCACACGTACACACGCACACGAACACACGCATGTCGAAATAGGTTAAACATATACAGTCGGACCTCTGTACAACGAGCTGGATGGTTCCAGAAGATAAATTCGCTATAATGAAATTTCGTTATATAGAATTTGTTCGGGGAAATCCAATATTGCTTAAAAGCTGTTATTGCTGTTTGCTATTGTATATTCATTTGTTTTTTATAACAAAAAAAGAAGGAAAAAAAATGAAAGATAGCATTATGTCTGTATTACCCTACAATGTATATAGCAAAAAGCATAATACCTACATTAAGTAGTAATGCTAAAATATAACTTAGTTTACTATGTATAACAATTTTTAAAACAAGAAACGATAAATATGGTTTTAGGTTTGTAATCCTATGTGTTGTGTGTATTTGTACGTTTGCTTGTGTGTTATGTTTGTTGGTATGTAATCTAAATCAGGAGGGAAATCTTTTGCTGTGAGGGCCGCATTAAGAACTATTTTACCTTTGAAGGGCCGCATATGTACTTCAATAGCAAATTTTTTCGACCCAAGGGAGAATATTTCAAGGTTTGTGGGTCCTTTTTTGGTCATAATTTCTGGCTGACGACCTTTTTTGGCGAACAAAGCTTTGCGGGCCGCATAAAATAGCTTTGCGGGCCGCATAAAATAGCTTTGCGGGCCGCCGGGTTGTAGTTTGCCCACCCCTGCTTCAAACCTTAGTAAGAAGTTATGATGCGTTTTGTATGGAAATAAAATTACGCTCGAAGAATACTAATCTGTGATGCATGTGTGTGTGTGCGTGTAAACCTGATGCAAAAATAATGAAAAAATGTAGATGGTTTAAAAAAAACTTAGTTATTTTAAAAAACTGTTTCTTGTTTCCTTTCAAACATATATAACACTACATATTTAAACACACAAATTTTTTGTTTCTATGTTTGTGTTTGTTTGATTGTGTGTGCTGTGTGTGTGTGTGTGTGTGAACAAGGTGGTCTACGTAAGACCCCTCCTTTCTCAACAATTTTAAAATCTAAAATATTACAGAACTTTGCCATTAATTTTGTTTATGTGTGTGTGTCTGTAAATGTGTTTGTTTGTTTATGTGCGTAATTGTCTGTTTCCTTGTTTGTTGGTATGTATGTTTGTTTATGTGTGCCTGTATAACTTTCGATAAAACTTACTTGATAGGAATTGAGCATACTGACTAGAGGAGATTTGAGTTAAAATTTAAATGCCTAACAAGGCAACAATGTATTTCTTTGCTATAAAATCGATCAATAAACTTAAAAATTCTTTATTGGAAAATATCGACAAATTCATACGATATTATTATTATTGACTACTGTCAAACAACACAATTTATTAAAATTTAATTACAAAATTATATTATTAATTAACTTTCTTTAATGTTAGTAATCGTTATTATAATACAAAGTTTTTTCATTATCGGTATTATAAGTGAAGTTTTTGCCTAATCGTGCCTAAGTTAGAGATCTATATCGAAATTTCGATAAGCGTGAACTGGTGTTTAATTTAGAAACGTGACTTGGAAAAATTATTTCAAATTCTAAAAGTTAAAGATCTGTTAAAATCGTTTGTGTTTTTGTTGATTAAGTGGTGAACTTTTAAAAAGGTAATTGAATTATCTCTGATTGATATGAGAGTAACAAATCAGTGTTGTATATAGTAAGTGATTAGCGGAAATTTTTTTATTGCTAATAAAAAATAGTATTATATATCAAAATCGAAAATCCTATGATCTCATTCATCCATTTCTCATTCTATCATTAGTTTATTATTTCGTTCATTCATTCACTCTTCATTCATTCAACCACGTCCATTCTATCACCCATATTCACTAATTCATTCAACATATAGTGACAGCAGGAGTAGCAAGAGAAGTGACTTCAGTAGCTTCCAGGCTTGACACACTTCTTTTTGATACAGTTGACAGTGATGGTGAATGTGGCGAGGATAGAATAACAGATGGCCAAAGCTATGCCGACCTGCTTGCCAACTTCGAAACCTTCATGGGCGTTCACACCTTATTCAAGGGGGAATCAATTAGGATGTATTTATTTTAAAGTTTTCTAAAATAAAACAAAAAATAACCGTGAAATAATATCGATAAAGGTTTAGGTAATAGTTCGTATATTTGAAAACGCGTTTGAGAAACTGTGTGAAACATTTGTTTCTTATTTCCTATCACATAAAATAATCATTTAATATACCCATGACCATATATTCATATGACAAAGTTTTCATGTAGTTAATACATGATGATATATACAAATTACGAAGTCATCTGTCGCTTTTCAGTTACAATGTGAAATGTTTCCATTTACACCACTAGCTAAAAACGAATTTGCAGTTTTCCAAGTATAAACTTTGTCATGCCCGAAACAGCGGACTAAAATAATAAATGAAAATTAAATGAAAATTCACGACGTAATATTACAAGTGTTAAGAAACTGAATTCGACAACTCTCAGCGCTCAGATCAAACAGAATGTGACGGTTTCAGTTTTATTCCACAAATAAGATAATTATTATTATATTTTTTATAAATAAATTTATTTTATTATTAAAATTAAATTAGATAAATTTCTCACTTTCTTGAGCAGACACACCACTAAGGAGGTAGAAGAAGCAGGAAGCTACGAGAATAACAACTTGGTTCGACATGTTTTTTAATAATAATATTTATTTGTTAGAAAAACCTTATTAAATATAAATTGGAGAATTCAATTCAACTCAAACAAGTTTTCTGTAACCAATTAATCTACCCTCGCTGTTGCGTTTTCACCACTCAATGTCGAAGTAGCGAATGCACGAAACGCATAATAAATATTTATTAGTTAGAATAAAAACAGACACACGTTGAACAATAGACAGACGCGCACATACACGCAACTGACAGATATAAATATACAAAGCCTATGTGATGCATTCATGTATAACAAACATGTTTGTGAGTATAAGTGGATCATATATGTGTGTATGGTATAAATAAAGCAAACACATAAGAAACTTTACATGAATTCATATGAGCGTTCGTTTCGTACATGAAGTATGGCATGCATTTTATTACTTGAACATTGTTGAATTATTCAAAAGTTAAGACTGCTTAATACGTGCAAACGTTTGATCGCGATATGTGAATGTGTTGCTGATGCAATTAAAATAAACGCTTAATTATATTATGTGTGCTGGGAGAGAGAGAGAGAGAGAGAGAGGGAGAGAGAGAGGGAGAGAGATAAATCTTAGTCGAATAAAATTTGTGAAAAACAAAGGTATTTCTGGAACCTAGCCCCAATTTAGTTTTATTTTCGGCTCCAGAAATACCTTTATTTTTCACAAATTTTATTCGACTAAGATATATGTGTCTTTTTTTCATATTAAATAAGCAGTCATTTTCTTTTCAAAAGTTTTCCTTATATTTGAAATATTTCAATCTGTAAAATTTTCAGCCAAATACATAGAAACCGGGTCGAACCAATGCCTGAACAAACAAGTGAGTTGAATGAAGACGGCATTTAGAAATTCTCGACGTCACATAGTTATATGTGTAAATGTTTGACCGTGCGAATTGAAAAGGTAAAAAGGTAAAGGCAAATGACATTTCAATTTTAAATTTTGATTTGATAGAGCATTTATGCGTCTTTGACATTCATTCACATTGAGGTCAATTGAGTGATCGCTAAACTTTCAAATACATGTCCTTAAACAAAATTATATAGAAACACATTCTACAGACAGACTAGATAAGCACATTCAGATCTGCATATATTTTCACACACACTCGCAACAGAGAGAGAGAGAGAGAGAGAGAGAGAGAGAGAGAGAGAGAGAGAGAGAGAGAGAGAGAGAGAGAGAGAGAGAGAGAGAGAGAGAGAGAGAGAGAGAGAGAGAGAGGATCCCAGAACAACACAAGCAGTGCACAAACAGAACAAAGACACCAAACAAGATTGATTAGCGTGCGCCTATGCGCCTACAGGCTCACTACAATTCAGGTGAGCACATAGAACGAGAAATAACTCGATCAAACTATGCATTTCAGGTAAATAAGTTTGTGTGTCGCTTAGTCTTTACGGATCAATTTCAGTCAAGTTTCTGATAGAAATCCGATAAATTAGCTATCCGAACTAATCTGACATCACCAAATACGAATAATGAAACACAACGAAACAACCGTTGATGATGTTTGATCGTTTTTTAAATATATCAATAAAATAAACAGTTATATAAAAGTAATAAATTAAAACAAAATAATTTAAATGTAAAAATCAGAATCTACAATATGTTAAACAACCAATGTAATGACTTCTTATAATGATGCTCGGTATGTTCATGTTTGTTCATATGTATCAGTACTTATGTGCACTTGTATTTGTTATGTCTATTGTGTATGTGTGTGTATGCACGTAAACGTCTTCCGTACGTATGTATGGATATAACCATGGAAATGTTATGGGAACCTAATGATATGTTGATTTCAATGATTTTTCTGTGGGAAAACGAAAGTTGTCCATACATAAGATACGAACCTTGATAGAAAGATGGAAAAATGTCACATTCATCCATTCGTTTACATATTCACTTCTGTACTCACTCAGTCCCTATCACCCATTCAATCAATCAATCAATCAATCAATCAATCAATCAATCAATCAATCAATCATCCAACAGCCTATCAAATATATAAAAGTAAATTTACAATTTTTCAAACGAATAAGTAGTTTATAGTTTACACGATGCCATAAAACCTTGAAAAACCACACACACAAACACGATAATAAAACTTAAAATTAATAACTTACTTGCGTGTCAATAAAAATAAAATAGTTAAAACACTTATAATAACGTAATCAATTAATTATAAATATATATATATATATCTCAATTGTTACACAATACTAATAAAAGTACGTCTTACTGTAGAACACTTGGCAGTAAAATAACTTATCGAGCCCAGTATTAAACATAGTAGAACATTGTCAGAATGGATTATTCATACATATATATAACATAATTAGCGTAAAATGAAATATAACAATTATATATATATATATATATATATATATATATATGCGCAAGTGATAGTTATTGTAGATAACGTATTCACATGAAAATTCAAAAATAAATATAAAAATAGACAGATAAATAATCAATCTTAAAAACTAATTCTAAAAAAAAAGAACAAAGAAAAAAGAAAAAACACCATCAAACGTGTCAGCGCATACAAAAAAGAAGCAATATTAAAGTGTAGTAAATCATAAAGCATACAATGATGCAAAAAATACTTTTCTCTGCTGTCCTGTAGTAATTATAATTATAAATAATTTTATTCACGATGAAATACGATGGAATTATTGAGGATAGTGAGTAATATAGCCAGCCGGTCGTCGTGTGTAGCCATGATATAGACAAGAATAGAAAGCCCATCAATACATAAATAAACTAATAAATTAATGAATTATGAATAAATAAAAAATAGATAAATGAATAGATAGATGGATTGGTAAGTAGAAGCCTGGGTAATGGGTAACACACATAATAGTGAGAGAGAGAGAGAGAGAAATGAAGAATCTGCAAATCAAGTTTTTCAGTGTAAAAGTACTATGCGTCCATCCCTTATCACATGTCTAATTAAATACATTCAAGATTCAATAAAATAACTAATGGAAAAATGAGTGAATGGATAAATGGATTGATTTCATGATGAATGAATGGACGCAGTGAGCGAATAGTGAATTCTTTGGTTACCGATTGATCCTGTAATACAGTAAAGTTGATGTAGCTTATGTGGTTACAACATTACATTTCATTACACTTAAAAGATTCGTTTCAAAATTGAAATAGCAAACAAATAGAAACAAAAATATAAAAACCAATTTAAAAGAATTCAATAAACTAAAATATTCAAATCTTAATTTAAGAACATCCAACAATAAAACGTTACGTAAAATTTCAAACTAACCAAGAAAAATTATCTTTGAAAAATTAAAAACTTTAAAGAACGTGTGAAACAATTGATTAAAGTCAATTTAGTATCATTCATACACACATTATGAAACGAAACGAGATAAGTAATAACACTATTTAGATAGATAACAAACACTTTCTCTCTCTCTCTCTCTCTCTCTCTCTCTCTCTCTCTCTCTCTCTCTCTCTCTCTCTTTCCATTTCTCATTTGTTGGACCAACATGCTCAGACGCAATCTTCAGAAGACATAAGAAGAGGATTGACGTACTCAAAGCCATCAAATTCAGATTGGTCTATCTTCAATATCACTTTCCTGTCAGCAAAGAAATAAATAAATTTCATTTTCAAATTTCTAAAAAATGTACAAACATTCGTGCTATGGGAACTTGAATTATAATCTGTAATATAATGATTATCAGTTATTTGATTCAAAAAAGAGAAGTAATAACAGAATATGTCGTTCAATAATTTTGAGTGAATACGACAAGCTAGAAAACAAAACCATCAACAAAAACTCTTGTACGTGAGTAAAAAAAATGGAAAAGAAAGAAGGAAAAACTGACGAGTCATCAGGAGTCAGCTGAACAGGTTCATTAGTGAACTGTGGGTCAAAGTGTTCGAGGTCCATCTCTGATTGGACAGCTGGCCGATAGGGCGGGATGATCTGCTTGGAGTACAACTGGTCCCAGTCGATCGTTTTGAAGAAGGAATGCACCTGGATCTCTTGGAATCCGTACTGCACGCTGCAGCCCAAACGTTCACTTGGTGTCTGTTTGTTGATAGCAGTGAAAGCATTATTAGACACGAATTATTATAAGTTACAAATTTTCATTGACGAAGATATATTGGTGAGAAAATTACATTCATAAAAATGATTTTCTGAAAAAATAATTAACACTCAGTGGTGAAAAAAAGAGATAAATTTAGTCAGACAACAGCAAAGCAGACCTTGTTCAGGAATCCTTTCAACACTCCAGCTGCCTTCACTGACAGAGAACGAGGAATTCTTATCGGTTTTTCCAAGATGACTATAAATAAATTGCAAGCCAATTAACACCAAATAATATCAAGTTATAGCACTTGCACGCAGTCAGACAGAAGATGCTCCATGGTATGTGTTTTAAAAAAGAAGAAGGAACCTTGGAAGAGATAGTCTTCTGTATTTTGTTCAGGGTTGTCAGTCTGGCCGACAATATCAAAAGGTGACCGGCCAGCCAACATTTCGAACATAAGCACACCAAGGGCCCACCAATCAACACTGAAGCCTGTACAACGTGTGTTCATAATTTATGATGAGATCTGCAATGTGACACACATGTGAGTGTGTGAATGTCGGAACGGTTAGATGCTGTTTATAATTAGTGATAAATATATGTGTGTGTTGAAGGTTTACGTTAATAAAATATTAACAAGAAGCCTATTTTGAAAATAGTGTATCTGTTTGTGTAGTATTGTGCAGAGTTGTATCACGCCATACGCACTGCATGCTTCAGCTGGTGTTCATATGTTAGATGCGTACGAAAAGTAACAAAAGATGATTGAACTGTGAAATTATTAATGGCCTCTATGAAAATTTTGTAACCCGGAATCAAATGCAAAGTTAAATCAAACTGTAAAAAATAAATGTGAATGAAATAAAATCACCGAAAATAGAACTGATGTAAATTAATTTGATCAAAATAAATGTTGACCTCTAATAAGCTAACTAGAGAAGCATGCGGTAATAAAAAAAATGAAAATTAATAAAATCTATAAAAAGAAGTGAAAAATTATCCAATGAAATTAAACTGATATGAAAAAAACTATGTTAAAGTAGTTGTTAAACAATTTGTAACTATGTTAAGTAAAACAAATGGCAAGCATAAAAATCAAATATATTAACTGCCAAAGAAAAGAAAACATGATCAAAACAAATTAGCAGCGGTGGATTCTACTGAGATCAATCCGTAAAAACAACGTGACGCATGAAAAGTGACAAACTGCCTTGTGGCAATGGCTGAAATAAAACAGCTGTACATGTCTGCGAAATTCAGATTTAATAAGGTTACAAAAGATTCAAAAACATACATCATCTTCACCAAGAGATGTAATATGAGTGACTATGAGAATAACAAAAACAGATACTAACTAGACGCGTAGATGTTATGGACTGGAAAAAAACAACAGACGTAGCGAGTATAGTCAGCTTGATACTATATGTATGGCATGACCTAACGACAGATAGCAAAAGTTTGATGCAGATTTTTTAGTAGACACACACGCGCGCACACACACACACACACACACACACATATATATATATATATAATTGTTTAGTATCATGTAAAGCCATGCAAGTTCTAACGTGACGAACATTCTGTTTAGTACGGCAAGAAAACGATTTTTTATTTATAATTTTTGATGCCACTTCACAACAAAGTCGAGGTCACGCGACCTACCGTACAACCACCACCCACCATATTCTTCTCCTCTGAGAATCTCAGGAGCAATGTAGTTGGGGGTGCCACAAAAGGTGCTCGTGGTCTCGCCTGCTCGCAAGCCCTCCTGATCAAACAAGTGATTGGTCGGTTGAATGGGTGATTGAATGACAATTAAAATGAATTTTGAAGCACGAAACGTTCACACAAGTACAGTCCAAAATTTTTCCTTTTCATCAGATCATCGAGGGCTGCATACCATTCGACTTTTAGAGATAGGCTTATTGGGATGCTTAAACACCTACAGCTGACTGGCTGTGCAGAAATTACAAGAAAGTTGAAAAGATAAGAATTAACTGTTGATAAAAAGTAACATGATGTACACTACGTCAAAAATCTCGTTAGGAAAACTATTTTTGTAGAGAGATGAATCTTGACAAAAAATTAGAAAAAAGTTAAAAGTATTAAACTAGAAAGATATTATAAATAAATGAAAAGTAGTCAATTGAAAAATAAAAATATCAACAAATAATAAGAAATCTTTTAAAAAATAATAACAATAATGAAACAATCACACGAGATGAGCTTATGAAAAATAAAGTCAAATAAAATCTTAGCCTAATGATTAAAAAAAATTATTATAGCCAATAACTAGCCAAACATGTGAAATAACTTAATTAGGAAAGCTGTGGAAATTGAAAAGTGGATCTAGGCATAATTATGTGACCTATTTTCCTCTCCCAACACAACCAACCCACCATAATCTTCCCCTCTGAGCATCTCTGGGGCAATATAATTAGGGGTGCCACAAAAGGTGCTCGTTGTGTCACCAAACTTTAAGCCTTCCTGTCATCATTCAGCGTTTCGTAATCCAGTTTGGATGTAAGCAGTCAGTTTTTTTTAATTTGATTTTTAGAAATATAATAAATATGACGAACATTAATAACCATTATTAATAATGTTAACAAGAGCAACCGACACTAATAAATACTACGAAATAAAATAAAGTAAGAAACCGAACGATGCAGTGATGTAACTCAAAAAAAAAATTTACACACAAGAAACAGCACATCACAAAACACAAGAAACAGCACAACACTACAACAGCTCAAGACCTTGCACATTCCATAGTCAGTAAGTTTGATGTGCCCGTCAGAATCCAACAGTACATTGTCTAACTTGAGATCTCGATAAATGATGCCTAATGTGGGTGTGGTTTTGCACGCTCCAAAATTATAACCAGAAATTCCATTTTTTATAAATCAAATCAAAATCTTCAAACTAATCTGGTTTAATCTATATTTATAAATAAGCAAACAAACCACACCTCACCTTTATCATGTAAGAAATTAAGCGCTAGACAGATCTCAGCAGCATAGAATCGAGCGTGTTCTTCTGGAAGTCTTCTCTGCCTCTGCATGTGGTACATCAGGTCACCTCCGTTCACAAACTCAATTATGAAGAACAAACTAAATGATGCATGGATGAAAGAATCGATGGATGGATGGAAGGATAGATGAATCGATAGATGAATAGATTGATAAATAGATTGATAGATGAATGGAAAGATGAATGGAAAGAAAAATTATTGGATGGAATTAATAACGTTTTTAAACATTAAAAAAAAACAAATAATTAAACTAGATGGAAGAGATGCATAAAACGTAAAAAAAAAGTATAATAAACATAATAGAAAGATTAAATAAAATCTCCCCACAGACCGACTAGGAGATTGAAAACAAGAATGCAGTCCCACGAGGAATGGGTGGTTGGATGCCACTTCAAACACGTGCTTCTCCGTCTGCACCCAATCTATATCCTGGTTGGTCAGTTAGTTGGTCAGTCAGTGATTGTTTAGTTGGTTGATTGAGTGGTTGATTGTTCAGTTAGCGTTTTATATATATTATATCATCACTTCCTCACAATCATCATAATTCTCTAAAACACCACCATCATGTTCACCATACTACAAAACTGCACATCCACCCACCTCATCGTCGTTGACAAGCTCCTTCTTGATAACCTTCATGGCATACAGGCGTTTCGTCTTTTTCTGCTCTACCACAAATACTTTGGCGTAGCTCCCACGACCAATCACACGCAGTAGATGGAAATCATCTAATCCAATTGCACCCTTTGTCTCCAACACACTCGGGGAAATCCCAGCTTTCTATTTATAAACAATCACCAATAAATGCTCAACTGCAAAGTTACATCCTTAATTAAGCCTACTCTAACTTAGTGAAAATGATAACATTATAAAGTATCAATCAATTCATGTACCATCCATCTAATACTACGCTAAATTATAAAATGAATAATCCAAAAATATTTAATTTAATATATTATATTTAGTATTAATCTACAAATTATCACTAAAGGTATTTATACAATTGTTTACAAATTTAAAAAGAGCATAAAAAAGTGAATAAAGTTAGGAGCAATTAATTAGTTAGTAAGGAAGGATAGATATTTATTTTAGCCTAGCAAAGCATGCATTTAGCTACTACTACTATACATACATAGATGTATAATTAGTATGAAATACTAAAGATAACATACATACATGTTATGTAACATACATGTTAAGATACGTTACAGACAAACAAACAAACGGAGGAATGAACGAACAAACAAACAGACAGACAAACAAACAAACGGAAGAATGAACGAATGAACAAACAAACAAACAAACATACAAGTAAGGTAAGATTTTTTTACATACAAAAGCTAAATTATGTTTGCAAAACTTGACAAGGAATAATGATAAAAGAACAATAACAATGATAATAATATTATTACAATGATACTTTAATTATAATTATAAGAAATAATAAGATTTTTATTAATTAAACATAATTTTCAATAACATTTTGGAAATAAATGGATGTTTGTGTGTTTGTGTGTGTGTGTGAACTTTTATCAAATGAATAACCAGTTATTTCATTTATCTTCCATTAAACTTACGCAAAAAAAATGTGTTTACTCATTTAATTAATACCAGAATATTAACGCTAAAAATAATAATTGTTATAATAAAAATTATAATTACAATTATAATTATTATACCTCAAAATTATTCTCTAAATGTTCGACAATGTCTGGAATTGGTTCAGCTCTTACCAGTGGTGGGAGGTTGAGGTCATTGCGGTAGTAATCATTAGCGCCGCTACCAACGCCGCTACCACCGCTACTACTACCGTTATAACCGCTATTACGTAGCGCTGACTTTTTTGAAATTTTTGTTGAATTATATGGTTAGTAGGCAACGGTGATGATGATGAAAAAGATGCCAGGAAATATCAGTGGTTATCAACCGTAAAAAGTGGTTATCATCATGATGTTGGTGATAGAAAAATGATGCTAATGATGGTAAGTTATGTATGTATGAATGAATACGAATGAATGAACATATAAACGAATGAATGAATGAATGAATGAACGAACGAATGAATGAATGGGGAAATAGCTGAATAAATGAATGAATGTGCAAACATGGATGAATGAATAGACGGAAGCACGAATGACGATTAATATAAAGAAATTTATCATGCAATAAACCAACATTATTATTAGATTTAATAAAATAAAGTATAAATATTTAAAACATTCATCAAAGTTATTTAGCTAACATAGACATGCTAAATACACTACACATATTGAGGTAAATACACACATGTTGGTTTAGTAGATAGGAATTATGTGGTAATAAAATAAATTATGTTAAAAGATATAATAATAATAATTAGAATAATAATAATAAAAAGAAATAATAGTGATAATAATACTTACCTTATTTTCAAGAGTGGATGCCCTACTGGTTGAATTACTGTTGTCTTTAGTGAAACCTTTTGTGAGATTTATTGTACGTGTTAGAGGTATGGAGAAAGAAATAACATAATACAAATAACAAATAAATACAACACCAACAATACAAATAGCAAAAGAACTAATAAATAATAATTACGATATTGTTTTAGACAGCAAAGTTGAAACCATTGAAAAAACGAAAATATTGTAACGAAAATAATCTTGGAATAATGAAACATTGTAAAATATGAGCTTGATTTGACCTAGGTCAACCAATCAAATCAGTTAACCATATATACAATACAATACACTAACCAAGCAAACAATCAGCCAGCTGATCAAACCAACCAGCCAGCCATCCAGCCAGCCAACAAACCAACCAACCAACCAACCAACCAACCAGCTAACCATCAATTCAACCAGCCCAACAAACCTTTATTATGGTGTTCATAGTACTTATTGATGGAAGCTGAATTACTACTGCCAGTATCACTTCCTGTGTCTTGTGTCTGTGCATGCGTGCGTATGACAGTGTGTTTGTTCATGTGTTTGTTTGTGCATCTATCAATGTCTACATATATGTAATAATTGTATTTCAGTATTTGTATAGTGTCTCTTTGTGTACACATGTTTGTGTACACATGCATAATATAAACACAAGTGTATCAGCATAATGATCCATTAATAAATATGGATCAAAAAAGTACACTACATCGTTAACAATTCTGTTTTTAAGATGAATCAAAATCAAAATTATTGAAAATTTTAAAGGACGGAAATAATAAAGGAACAGAAAGACATACATACATGTACGTAGGTTCCACACGAGTGCTTATAAAGTTTATGGCACTTTTTGTGGACCAGGAGTTTGCAGCTGATGCATTTGAAGCCCTGCCTTCCCAGGCCCCAGATCCTATCCCCACAATATACACAGGCTGCCTTCTGGTAGGTGGGTGAGTGAGGAAGTGAGTGGGTGAAGGAGTGATCAAGAGATTAGGTGATAACACCACCAAATGGGGGATTTTAAATGAGTGGCTGAATGAATAAACAATTTATTGATGACATTTCTAAAAGGGTGATTTTAAAATCAGTTTAAAAAATATCATAAACGTTGATACGGCCAACCGAACCAGGTTCATTTAACAGACTAATTTTATCAGTTGAACTATTCTTTAATAATTTCTTATTAAAATACCTATGAATTATTAATATTATTATTAAATGCTATATTATTAATAATAATTTAGTAACTAATGACTTTTTTGGGGAAAACGGTTTAAACTAAGCGAGCAGGCGAAAAGTAAACAAATAGCAACCCTGCTAAATCTCTTAGGTTGGAAGAGATGTCCATTGACTCTGTACAACTTCCTCCACCTCCTTGCACCTCTCCTGTACATGTTTCCTACAAATAAAACATGGTTGCTTGAAATGGTGAAACTTGAAAGTATAATGTGTATGAATATAACATATGTGAAATATAACAAGTATAAAAATGCATTAATTCTATTGAAGAGTAATACCATTTAAACTGTCAACAGACAGACTATAACAAATATAACTACCTAGTCACACAAAAGCACACATTCCTACATACACACACATACAAACATGTGTGTATCTACATAAATAAATATTAATGTATGCAAATGAGTTTTATATCAGTGTCCAATATCAGTGGTCTGGTCAATTAACTTACTGTCTTCTCCGATGCATGGCTGGCCAGGTCCAGCAGGCACATTTGGGAATACTGCATTGTGAATTGTTGGTAGGTTATGATGAATTGATGGCTATGAATTGTGATTGGTTGAGGTGAATTGATGGTTATTAATTGTTGGTTGGTTGCTTTGTAAATCATTGTTCATTATTGGTTGGTTGTTCATTATTTAATGAATTGTAAGAACACAATCTAATTAGCGAATTAATTACATGCAGTAATAAAAATTTGTTTAACATTATCAACTTTTTTGCTATTCCATAAAAAATGTAAGAAAATAAAAAATTAAATTGAATAAGATTCCTTTTCAAAAAGAAAAAAAATAAATAATAAAATAAAAAAACACCATGAATAACGATTTCCGAATCTTTGTTAAGTTCATAAAGACGAAATGCTTCAGCCAGTTCCATGTGAGATGTTATGGTGCAAGGGTCCCCTGGACAAATGAGTTTAGTTTTTTTTAAAATTAATTACATTTTGTGACAAATTATGAAAATAAAAACTAAACAAAAAATTCAACAACTGATCATCCAACTTAAACCAGCAATCCACATATCCACAATATTCATTCATTCATGACGCCATCCCTATGAAATAAGTTGGCACAACCTTCTTCATCCACCCATTTGATTGTGAATGGCTGATCTTGATCGAATTTACAAATGTCCCTCATCTCTGCACACAAAGCATCATACGATATGTCGGACCCCAGGAAAGTTATCATCACATCACTGATTTGTCAATTTTAATGTTAAGTTTATTTCCACTAATTATGCTAGAACTAGTAAGTTTACATTTTAACAATTTTCATCTTTCAAACTTTAGAAAGAACATGATTCTGTTAAATTAAATAATCATTGATTAATTAAATAATCTGTAGTTCTCCTTATCAAATTAATGATTAACCTTATTAAACACTTTAACAGTTAACTATAATATTGAAAAACATAATGATGTTAAAGATTTATCTAATAAATTTCATTAGTGAGTTAATTTTATTTTATAATTATTGAGTTTAAGAAGTTTATTATCACATTTTCGGTATTTTTATTTTCAAAAAAATTAATCTTTAAATTTAAATTTTAAAAGTTAATCTTTTTAATTCATAATCAACAAAAACTAAAAAAAAAATAGAATCAATACACTTATTTAATTTTACGTTTGAAAGTTGTTTATTTAACAGAAAAGGTTAAAAAAGAAAATAAATTGAATTTTTATTAAAATTATAAAATAAAAAGTAAAAAGTAAAAACTCCTTCTACCTAGCGAAGCAAACTTTCAATCGAACTTGGTTTGATTCTTCTAACAATCTTTGACCCATTTTAATTTGATTTATTTCTTTCGGATTTAAAATTTTTATTTATTCGGATTAAAAATTTTATTTTAAAAAACAAACTTTACTGAAATACCGAATAGACAATTGTCGACATTACTGTGATCACATGACGCAGGTACTTTATCATGAAGCGCCTAATTTTATCAAGTTAATTCACCAAAATGATCAATGTTTTTTTTATAGGCTTATAACTGGTTATAAATTAGATTATAAATTACAAAACGTAGCTAAAATATTATTTCAAATTCATATTATTTTAATTTAATTTTTATTAGCATTTTTTAATTCACATTGGAATATGATAATTTGATGCTGTGAAGAGGATGAATAAAGTTCATCCTTCTCTCTTGCTTCTTTTATGTTTCTCCTATAATACTTATATCATGTATGCTTCGTTTATATGCATTACATACACATGTATTGTATTGTATATTATATAAATGTATATTGTAAGTATAGATACATGTATATTGATTGTATATGTATATAATGTATGTTATGTTTATGTTGTATTCATGGATATAACGGATATATATAATTCATGTATGTATTTATATATATATATTTATGGTTGTATTGTATTGAAGTGCATATATACTTGAACGTGTAATGTTACTTTTGTCTTGTTCATTTCATGGCATGGCTTTTCATGTTTTGTGTGGCATGTAAGACTTTTTTAATGTTTTAATTTATTTCAATAGAAAAAGTTATTTTCCAAAAAGTTTATTTGACCACTAACAATCTCTGATTTTATATCTCCACATTGTTAAAGTTATAAATAACTTATAAACCAAAACTAAAAAAATGAGATTTTACCCTCCTAGAAGTAGAGGAGCGGCGAATTTAATTTTTATTTCTCTGACACTACCAGGAATTTTATTAAGTACCATTCTGACGCTCACCGATGCACTGGAAGGTTATATAATAATAATTATGATTATAATAATAACAATACGAGAATACGTATGATACTCCGATTTCCTTTTTGAATTAACATTAACTTTGATATAAAATTATAAATATTGATGAAAGACTACTAAAACTGAGAGCCGTGATATTTTTTTCATAGCATTACCCTGGCAGAGCTGTTGTCAATAAAGTCCTAGAAACTTAAAAAATTATTAGCCACGAAATATAAATATAACACGTACTTAATGATTAAGTTAACAATAACATTTTCTCATTTTTTAAAATTTAATTTTCAGACGTTGGTCAGAAAAGGTTCTCCTTCAGTGGCACCATAAGATCAGATGCAAAGGCAGGAGATGAGGTGCAGTTGAACTCGAGCATTGCCAGTTACTACAGCAAGATTCTGCTATCAAGCCTCACTAACAAGCATCACAAAGGTTATTTATGACAACACTTAGCAGATTTTAAAATTTAAAGTGATGTGTTTAAAAAACTTTAAAGATATTATTCCTAATTCTGTAAAGTAAAGAATAGATTCAAAGCAGAAGTATCAGCAACAACACACATGCCATATATAAGTGCTTGCAAAATCACGCATCACACGCATTACATGTGAGATAATTGGTTCTCATAAAAATAAGTTAATTAGTAATTAATTAAGTAATAAATTTCATTAAGTGGGTAATTTAATTTATGTATTTTAGAAACGTTAATTGTGTGGTGTGCTTGATTAATCTCAAGTTAATGATATTTAAGTTCGATTTATTAATTCGAAAATTATAAAAACTCTAATGTTAAATTTAAATTGCAGTGAAAATATGTGGCTATACGGTCTACAGAGATCCTTATATGCTCTTCAAGGTAAACCCAGAGTCAACTGCCACAGGAAGTGCTAAGATTGTACTTACCAAAGACATTAAAAGTGAGAATTTCAAATGGAATTATACCTTCGAGATTGCACCACACACATGTGAGTCTGGCAGACATTTGGAAAGGTTTGTGGATCTGGATGGTGTCATATGTTGTTGTTTGTTGATATTGTTTGTTAATGACAGACATCTAGAAAAGTTGGATGATGAGGCTGGAAGTTTCACTTTGTGTTCATTGTTCTTTTCTATATTATATATTCTATCTTAGTTTTTGTACTGCTTTATTTTATATTGTTGTTGTATGTGATTATGGATTCTATATTATTTAAAAATAATTTTCGAATTCATCATTAGTTATTGAAATAAATCCCATTTTTTCACACTTTACGGGATTTATTTTTTAAAAAGAAAAATAATGAAAGATAGGAAATATAAAAATTATTAAAAATACGAATTTCAAATTTTTATTCTTTTCATGAGTTCTTTACATTTCCTACAAAACTTCTGTGTATGTGTGTGTGTTTAGATATGTAATGTACTGACATATTTATTTTGCCTTATATCTTTAATACTAAAAAGACATTATATTTGTTTATTCTTTTTATTTACATATTATTCAATTACTATATCTATTGTAATTATTTCTTTTTTTGGCAAATTTAATGCCTACATGTTATATATGCAACTGAATATATAACAATTTGTTTTGTATTTGTGTATTGTTTTTATCTAGTGTATTGTTTGTATTATATTTATTTTTATTTAAAAATTAAATTCGACCATTTTGATGTCAGCCAACCAACATATAGATACATTTCTGCATATTTTCAATCTTAATTCCTCTGTTGGTACATTTTATCTGAAGTTTTGGCAGATTATTATTATCGTCTGACCTTATTTTTTTTAATTTTAATTTTTATTATTTTATGTTTTTATTATTTTCTTATTGTTTCTTTTACCTTTCTTGTATTTTTCATTCATTTTGGTTTTTTTTTCGTTTATTTATTTTTTTAAAACTTTCACTCACTAATTCACGCGTTCTTTTCTACATTCATTTATTCATTCATCCATCCATTCTTCTATTCATTTATTTATTGATTCCTTCTTCCATTCAATCATTCATTCATACATACATACATACATACATACATACATACATACATACATACATACATACATACATACATACATACATACATACGTGCGTACATGCTTACATACATGCATATATAGATATTTTTCCAACCAATTGTATGTTACGAATAGAATGGAAAAGTAACACACAAAGCCTGATTAGATGCCATAAAAGAGCCATTCAATAAAATACAACACACAATGCTATGTCCTATGCTTCACACACACACACACGCACGCACACACATTTATATATATTTATATATATATATATATATATATATATAGCACATATACACATTTATGCATAAGCATACTCACATACAAACAAACAAACACGCATAGATAGAAACAGACTGAAATGAAACATGAGTATTGACCAACCTTGCATCTCTCTGGAGATGAGTCTGAACTAAGCTGGATGCTTGAATGAAAGAGCGTATACAAAATGATTGAATGAATAAATAAATGAACTTAGGAATGAATGAATGAGTGAATAGACAAATGCATGTTTAAAGGAATAATTACCGGATGGATAAATAAGTAATGACCAAATGAATAAATTAATCCTATTCACAGAAGAAAGATGTATGCGTGACCAACTAAGATGAATAGACATGGATAAACAAATGGATGAATGAATGAGTGAATGAATGATTGAATGAATGGATGAATGAATGGATGAATGAATAAACGAACGAACGAGAGAGTTAAAGGTAGGTCGTTGAACAAACGAATGAATGAGTAGGATTAATGAATGAATGAGCTCTCTAATTAATTAATGTCCGTTCATGTACATTTTACTTTGTTGATATAACTCAAGTTATTTATAGCAAATTAAACCATCAACTTAACTTCTTTTTTTATCATTCTTTAAAAAATCAGAATCTGACAAACACTTGGAAATCTTAAAAACACTTGGAAGCGAAATGTACAAATATTTAATGTTATCATTTTGCAGTGTGAAGAAGCAATTACTTTTTTCTTCACGAAATCTTGATCTTCATATAAAAATAAGGCCTATATAAATTCAATGAAATCATTATATATTTTTAAAAAATAAGAAAACAGTAATATGAATAAAGAAAAATGCATAATATATCAGTTAGTACAGATGAAACAGCGCCATCTAGAGCTCGCAGTAATGATCAGCTACGAAATCGAACGCCATATCCGGTTCCCACGGCAAACTTTTTGGTACCGATCAATGTCATCATAAAGCCTGGGGTAAAAGTTTTCTTCATCTGAGGAGTACCCTTTGTTCTCGTGGTCAAAATCCACGTCATCAAATTGATCAAAATCGTCGTCGTCTTCAGGACCACGGTCATTATGATTAATGGCATGATCATCGGCATCATGATCCATCTCTTCTTCCCTCTAACCTTGGTTCCCCCATCTAGTGGAAGGGTTTCTCAAATCTAAAGGTCGTTTATCATCTTTGTGGTCATCATCATCTTCGACATCATCATCTACTTCTTTTTTTCTCTGACCTTGGCTGGCCCACAAAAAGGAATGGGGTTTCATATCTTCAAGTTGTTCGTCATGATCATTTTTGCCATGATTGCTATCGTTAAATAGCTCTAATACTCTCTGCACTCACCAAACTTAAAGGACTCCCATATCTTCATGTGGTTGATAATTGTGATTATTGTTTTTATCAGTGCCATCATCATCCATATCTTCATGTTGTACTTGGCTGTGATTGTGATTATCCTGATTATGATCATCATGATTATGATTATTAAGAATTAAATAAATTCATCCAATCAGTGTAATTATTGTAGTCTCTATGACCTTCGTCCACCCATCGAAATATATGGGCTTTTATAGCTTCGAGTTCCTCATCCTCTGAAGACATTTTCTAAGTAAACTCACTTTTGAATAATAATTAATAAATATCTAGTTAATACCAATTTTATTTTTCTGCTAAATTGTTTGAGCTTAGCTCAATTTTATATAATGCTGTTGTAATTGGCTTTGACCTTGTGTCCATTAAATTTGAAGAATTTAAGTTGTCGGATGTTATAAGAATAATTATTTGGTTGACTTAAGAGGTACAAAATTGAACAAAAAAATTTAATAGATGTTAGGGCAATAAACAACAGTCCAGAATACGATCTTATAAATTTTTTCGCAGTTTTTTTGAAATTCAGAATAGACAAAAATAAATTTGCTCATTTTTCATTGATTTTTACATGAAAAGTTTCTCTAATAATCATAAATCAAAAAATTAGTTGTTTGATCATATTTTATCAGCTTATCAAAACACAGTAAAACAATGATATCATTTAAAAATACAGCCCTATATAAATCAATAAAACTATTATAAATTTTTAAAAATTAGAAAAAAATATTATAAATAAAGAAAAATGCATAATAGGTTGGTTGGTTGGTACAGATAAAACTGCGCCAACTAGAACTCGTAGCAATGATAGTCTGGCTCGTGATGGATGCCAAAACGGATGGCCTCGAACACCAAATCGTACCCCCTCTCAATCTCTCTCAGTCGCAATTCAATTTCCTCGCGCATAGATTCAATGTGCTCATCATCTGAGCTGTACCCGTCGTCGTCATCATCGTCGTCGAATTCATCCATGTCGAAATCATCGTCGTCATCGTTCTGGACGACAAAATCATCCTCGTCATCCTGGTCATCGTCATCATGACCATCGTCATCATGACCATCGTCATCGTCCCTATCTTCTTCCCTATTAACCTCGACTTCCCACCAAAAGGGAGGGCTTCTCATATCTTCATGTTGTTCGTCCTCTGAAGACATTTTTTATGCAAACTCTCTTTTTGAATAATAATTATTAAATATTCAGTTAATACAAACTTGATTCCTCCTCTAAACTGTTTGAGAAATAGCTCAGTTCAGCTTTATATAATGCTGCGGAGAGTGATCTCATCATGGCACTTTGACTTTGTGTCCTCATGGAATCAATCACATGGCGGTCGTAAAAAGTACAAAAAGTGGATTAACAAAGGGTCTTAGAATTAACTGAGCAATAAAATTAAATAGTTAGTGCAGTAAAACTATGCAGTTTATGATCTACAAATGAAATAAGGCCAGTAACAAAGAAATTAAGGTTGTATGGTGTTATAAAAATAGACAAAAATATAGCATAGAAATTAAAGTTATACGATGTTGTTTACAGCATGTAATCGAGCAGGCGATGGTAAAATGCTTAAACGAATGTACCAGACTTTTGATCTTGAGTTTATTGTCCATTTAACATTTAGGCATTTTTTTTATATCATTCTTTAAAAAATCAAAATCTGACAAACGCCGAAACTGTTACAGCATGCAGGGCAATAGTATAAAATGATAACAAAAAATAAATGGCGGAGAAAAAATGTTTAAGCATGAAAAGTATGGAAATAAAATAAATAACGGTTTAAAAGACAAATAAATTAAATAATTAAAAAAAAATATTAATTAATTAATAAAAATTAATAGATTAGTTAATGACTTAGTATGTGAGTAGATGACAAAGTTTTATTGAGTGCTAATATATTTAAGTTGTCTTGTGATGAAGGTCTTATCCTGATATGTTGATTGGGTGGCGACTTGATAGTTCAATTTACGTTGACCAAGGTTTGTGTAGTAGTTCTGGCTGGTGGTAGTAGAAGATGGTAACGTGGTTGTTGTCGAGTGAGTGAGAGAACGAGTAAATGACTGATTCAACGAATGAATGAAAAATGAGTGGATAATTGAATGAAAGAATGAATGGATGAATACATGTATGAATGAACGAATGAATGATTGACTGATGAATTATGAATAAATGAGTAAATTAATGAGTAAATGAATGAATAAATGGGCGAGTGAAGGAATGAATGAACGAACACATGATTGTCTGATTTGATTGTAAGTGACTTAGTAAACCAAAGAAAAAGTGAACGAATGGATGAACGAAAAAATGAATGAACGAATGGATTAATGAAGAAATTAATGATTAATGGACATAGGCTTGGATGATGATAGCCATGCTGTGAAACTTTAAAACAGTTATAGAAAAAATTATGAAAGCTACTCAACGATGATTGATAAGCTTTAGAAAAAGCACCCATTAAATTATTAAATTCGCATTTCCATCTTTGTGTGTGTGTGTATGAACGCTATGTACATATGCATGTATGTGTATGTTTAGGTGCGTGTGTATACGTATGTCTTTGTTATTATGTGAAACCATGTTTCACGTATGTGTATGCGTGTGTATGTATTTGTATACGTGTTTGCATATATGATGAAGTTTTGTTATGATTGAGACAATTTTTTTTATCTTTCAAATAGTTTTCTCCTGTTATAACTGACTGTTGGGTCATGTTGTTATCTCAACAATGTCATTAATAAAAAATATTTTTATTGATAATAATATTATTGTTATTGTCGGGTTATTATTATTATTACTATTGTTGTTGCTACTGTTGTTGTTGTTATCATTTATATCAGTGTTATAACGGTTATATTATTATTATCTAAAGGTGAATCATTAAAACCTTAATGAATGAGTAAGAGCCGTTAGAATTTAATTAATGAAATAATTATCTGTTCTATATTTAATTAAATCTTTATTAGATAAATAGCATTCTGTTCTACATGGATTTGGTGTGTGTATGTGTGTGTTGCGTAAATGTGTGTGTATGTTTGTGTGACTTGTTTATTTACCTGAGTGTGTGTGTGTGTGTAGGTGTGCGTAAGTGTGTATGTGAATGTGCATGTTTGTGTGCCAGTATCTGTACGCCTTTTTGATTACCACTGCATGTGCGACTTGTTTCTTTCCCTGAGTGCGTGCGTATGAATGTGTGTGTGTATTTATGTGTGTGTGTGTATATATATATATATATATGTGTGTGTATGTGTTGTGTGTGTGGGTGGGTGTGAGTTTGATGATTTTAATTGGTTGTGTCGGTGTCTTGTATTTGCATAAATAGATGAATGATTCACTGCTGGTGTTTGCCGTTCATTTTATTTTGTATTGTTTGATAAATTTCGATTTTTATTTTATCATTTCAGGTATTGGTTTTTTTTTATTTTTATAAATAAAAATTTAATTAATCCTCGTATTTAATTTTTAGTATTCAGTGGAAAAAAAGACAAATAGGGAAAAAAAATTTTTCTACGCGAAAAGTTGGACGAATGAGACTTCTTCATTAAAATTTCAAACCTTTCTTCTTTCTCTTATACTGCATTCTTTCGCATTCAAACTTTGATGATGACGATAATGATAGCGATGGTGAATATGGTAATGGTTTGTAATGGTGATTATGGTGATGGTTGATAATGGTGATAATGGTGATAATTTGTAATGGTGATAATGGTGATGGTTGACGGCTTTGTTGACGTTTTTGATGTTGGGAGAGTCAATGCCATACAATGGTGATGGTGACTGCTAATTAAAAATCTGGAGACATATCTTTTTCCTGGTTGAGTAGGAGGAAATAAAAGAAAATTGTTTGTTTGCATGCGTCTGCAACAAAATAATGAACATGTTAAAGTGGGGTTGTTGACGATGAAGATGATGTTGAATTTATAAATGATAATATCATATATGTTTATATAGAGTGTAAATAAATATGATGCTATGTTGATGATATTTATTTATTTCTAGAGTGAAAGAGAGAGAGAGAGAGAGAGAGAGAGAGAGAGAGAGAGAGTGAAAAAGAGAGGGAGAGAAAGTTTTCCTCATCTTCATACATCAAGTTATTATCTAATCATCATCACATCATTCAACGTCATCAACAGAACCAACACCTTGAGCATTCATTCTTTTATTGTTGTTATTATTCGATCATTCAATCAAAAATTTGTTTTTGTTGTTTTGCGGTTTGTTGTTATTGATGTTGTTGATGTTGCCGTTGTGGTTACGTGTCGATACATTGATGATTGCATGTTATTATTTTACTGGGGTTGTTTTTCTTGAGACATTTTTTTTATTTTGACAGGTGTTTTTTTGTTTGTTCATGGAAAACAAAATGTTGGCTAATTTTCTTCTTGTTTGTATATTTGTTGTTTAGTTTTTTATTTTTGTAAATTTTATTAGTGCAAAAATCAAACATTTTTCTTTTTAATTTTGTTGTTTTATTTTCATATTTTCATGTTTGTCTGCTTTAGTGCAATTGAAAAACTATCTACTAACCTTCTTATCAAGTTTTTATTAATTATTTTGTATGTTTTTTTGTTTGTGTCTGTTTTATTTTGCTGTTTGTATCAGTTTTTCGTTTATGTGTTTTTTGTATTTTTTGTTTTTTTACAAAAAAGCAAAAACCAGTGACATAGCGTGATAGAATGTAATGACTCGGAGCATGGAAAAATATTATTAATGTTGACGCGACTATGAATGAACGTGCGTATTCTTAGTGAGTGCGTACTATCATGCGTATGTCTGTGTCGCTATCTGTTTGTATGTTCTTATGTACCTGTTTGTATGTAAGATGTGTATTTGATTGTATGTTTACATTTGGGCTAGTGTTGTTAATATCACATGTTTTTGTATATGTTTGTACGTATTTGTATCTGTGTGTGCGTTTGGTTTTTTATTTAGTTAGTTGTTTCATATATCTACGTCTTTGTATGTTTGCAGGGTGTTCTATATACGCATATATAATTAATAAGACTGTATCTCTGAGTTTGTATGTTTTTGTATCTAAAATTTGATATTTATAATACATGTTTGTATATTTTATCTTACCTCTCTGGTATATACATGTTTGTTTATAGTATGTGTATGTTGCATGTTTGTATATTTTGTTGTATAACATATGATACACACAAGTTTGTATGTTTTAATGTATACATACAACGTAGGTTGATGAATGTTGTAATTTTTTTTTGGATGTTGGTGGAAGTACCTTGGGGCTTGCATGCATTGTTGGATTGTATTTATGGATATTGAAAATACCTTACGTAGTTGTATATATCTTGTGTCCGGGATTGTTGCTGTAACGTGGGTTGTGTTGGTTCATTTTTTTGTGTGTGTAGTATTGTTTTGTATTAATGACGTTGTTGTGTATGTTTTGTTGTGTATTTTGCCTGTTAGGTTTAAGATTTGTTGTATTATTATTTTTTTTTATTTTACTTACGCGTATTAACGGTGGCGTGTATGTATGTGAATTATGTTAGGTTAATTGTATTTATATTTATTATGAATGAATGAATGAATGACTGAGTGAATGAAGAATGGTTGAATGAATGGGTGACAAAATGAATGAATGAATGAATGCATCTTCATGTATCAGCAATGGTATCTAATTTTCTCATGTAGATTGTGTCTATCTATACGTAGTTGTATCATGTGTGATGGTGTATCCCAATGTGTATTTTTAGACGCATCTTTGGGTATTTTTTGTATCAGCCTTACTGTGTTCTGTAAATTTTGGTTGCCTTTGAAAGATAAATTTTTTTACTCTCTCTCTCTCTCTCTCTCTCTCTATATATATATATATATATATATATATATATATATTCAAGTTTTAAAAATCCATTTGAAGTTGTTTGTTTTGGATAGACAGGCTGGTAGAGAAAAAGAGAGAGAGAGAGAGAGAGAGAGAGAGAGAGATAGAGAGAGTAGCTGATACACATTAAGATTTACATTCTTGTTTTCTTCTTTTTCATTCAACATGAATTGATTTTTCAGTGAAAAGTTGAATGAATGAATGAATGAACAAATGAGAGAGAAATGAATAAATAAATGAGTGAGTGAACGAATGAATGAATGAATGAATGAATGAATGAATGAAGGAATGAATGAATGAAGGAATGAATGAATGAAACAA